AATAATATTATAATAGGAGTAATATATAGGCCACCAAATTTAGACAGAATGGAAGCAAAGCATCTATGGGATGAAATATCTAGAGCATCTAGATCTAACAGTATTTATGTCATGGGTGACTTTAATTTTAGCGGAATAAACTGGTTGAACAAAACAGGGAATAGTGAAGCAGAAGATTTTCTAGAATTAATTGACGATTGCTTTCTTACGCAACACATTAAGGAACCAACACGGGAAAATAATATTTTAGATTTAGTGTTAACTAACAGGGAAACGCAAATTAATGACATCGAAATAGGGAGTGAGCTAGGGAGCAGTGATCACAAAGAAATCAGATTTAGCATAGAATGGAATAGACCAGTAGGAGAAAATTCTGTTAAAGTGCCAGATTTTCGTAAAGCTGATTTTAATAGCCTAAGAAATTTTTTGGGTCAAATTGATTGGAAAGTCTTGGGTATGGGGTGTGGGCCGGTCTTGGAGCGAGACATGAACCCAGCGATAGGTGACTTAAATGGGGATTTCGATGTGGATTCAATATATAACTTATTTAAGAATATTCTAAACAAAGCACAGGAACGTAGTATACCATACAAATTGAATAGATCGAATACTAATGACCCAAAGTGGATAACAAAGAATTTGAAGAACCTTATAGGTAAAAAGAGAGCTTGGTACAAAAGGATTAAAAATGGGGAGGTCACTTTAGAACAGGAATTCGTACAACTGGTTAGAAATGTTAAAAAAGAGATAAGGAAAGCAAAAAGAAACTATGAAGTTCGCATAGCAGGGCAAGCAAAGACAAATCCTAAAGGGTTTTTTCAGTTATATCGTACTAAGACTAGGGAAAGGATAGGTCCATTAAAAACTGAGACAGGTCAAATAACAGATAGTGATGAAGAGATGAGTAGTATTTTTAATAAATATTTTGTATCTGTATTTACTAAAGAGGAACTTAACAATATGCCTTCAGCCGAACAAGTCTATGTGGGTGGGGACGAGGACAGGTTGACGAGTTTAACAGTTACCAGGGAGGATGTTCTTAAACAAAGAGTAAAACTCAAACCAAACAAATCCCCAGGGCCGGATGAAGTGTTTGCCAGGGTGCTTAACGAATGCAAAGAGGAGCTTTGTGACCCACTGTCAACCATATTTAATAAATCATTAGAGTCAGGCAGAGTGCCAGAGTTTTGGAAAGTTGCTAATGTGATACCAGTTTTTAAGAAAGGAGATAGATCACTTGCGTCTAACTATCGACCAATTAGCCTAACGTCTATTGTGGGAAAGTTACTCGAATCTATAATAGCAAATAAAATTCGTCTTCATCTTGAAAAACATAAATTAATAATTGAGTCGCAACATGGTTTTATAAATGGCCGTTCATGTTTAACAAATTTGTTATCTTTTTATTCTAGCATTGTTGAGGCAGTTGATAGTGGTAAGGATTGCGATGTTGTATACCTTGACTTTAGCAAAGCTTTTGATACAGTGCCACATGAAAGACTGATTAAAAAGATAGAGTCTCATGGTATTGGGGGTGCTATATTAAGCTGGATTAGGGCATGGCTATACCAAAGGAAACAGAGAGTTAGTATAAATGGAATCAAGTCAGAGTGGGAAAATGTTGTAAGTGGAGTGCCTCAAGGCTCTGTCCTGGGACCTCTGTTGTTTATAATATATATAAATGATTTAGATTCAGGTTTGAGTAGCAACATTTGCAAATTTGCCGATGATACGAAAATCGGTAGGGAAATTAATTCGGAGGAGGACTCACTATCACTTCAAGTTGATCTAGATAGGGTTTTGAAATGGTCAAAGGATTGGCAGATGCAGTTTAATGCTGATAAATGTAAAGTTCTGAGGTTAGGTAATGATGATAGAGTTACAAGATACGAGCTAGATGGTGTTGTGATTGCGAAGTCGGATTGCGAAAGGGATCTGGGAGTTATGATTAGTAAGAATTTAAAACAAAAGGATCAATGCATAAATGTTCGTAATAAGGCAAATCGGACACTTGGATTTATTAATCGCAGCGTTAGTAACAAGACACCTGGTGTGGTTCTCAAGCTATATCTTGCTCTAGTTAGGCCCCATTTAGATTATGCAGTTCAGTTTTGGTCGCCATATTATAGAATGGATATAAATTCACTTGAACGTGTCCAGCGTAGGATGACTAAGTTAATTCCCCAAATTAGAAATCTTTCATATGAAGAAAGATTAACAAAGCTTAAGTTGCATTCACTGGAAAGGCGAAGAGTTAGGGGTGACATGATAGAGGTTTACAAGTGGATGAATGGACATAACCGGGGGGATATTAATAGGGTATTAAAAGTATCAACACAGGACAGAACACGAAACAATGGGTATAAATTGGATAAGTTTAGATTTAGGAAAGACTTGGGTAAATACTGGTTCAGTAACAGGGTTGTTGATTTGTGGAACCAATTGCCGCGTAACATTGTGGAGGTGGGGTCCCTCGATTGTTTCAAGCACGGGTTGGACAAGTATATGAGTGGGATTGGGTGGTTATAGAATAGGAGCTGCCTCGTATGGGCCAATAGGCCTTCTGCAGTTACCTTTGTTCTTATGTTCTTATGTTAGGAAAGACTTGGGTAAATACTGGTTCAGTAACAGGTTTGTTGATTTGTGGAACCAATTACCGCGTAACGTGCTGGAGGTGGGGTCCCTCGATTGTTTCAAGCGCGGGTTGGACAAGTATATGAGTGGGATTGGGTGGTTATAAATAGGAGCTGCCTCGTATGGGCCAATAGGCCTTCTGCAGTTGACTTTGTTCTTATTTTCTTATCTCTCTAGTGGCCTCGACGAGGACAGGAAGCCTGCGGCTTGTCAAAGGCCCCCCCCCCTCCCCCATTTTCCTAAAGATTTTATCAATCTGAATTTGCAAACTCAGCAATTTTGGTATTTACGGCTTCGGCAAGTATGCGGTTCCATGAATTTATAACCCTATATTTTTTAGCCTAAGAATTTTTGGGGTTGCAATAGATTGGAAAATCCGCATGGAGGGTGGGCCGGTGTTGGAGCGACACGTGAACCTAGGGATAGGTGACGTAAGAATGGATTTCGATGTGGATTCAAAATACTATATAACTTATTTATTCTAAGCAAAACACAGGAACGTAACATACCATACAAATTGAATAGCTCGAATAATAATAATGACCCGAAATGGATAACAAAGGATCCGAAGAATCTTATAGGTTGAAAAAGAGCTTGGTACAAAAGGATTAAGAATGGGGAAGTCAGTTTGGAACAAGAACACGTCCAACTGGTTAAAAATGTTACAAATATATAAGGAGGGCAAAAACAAACTATGAAGTTCGCATAGCAGGGTAAGCATAACTATGTCCATTTAATGGACATAACAAAGGGGATATTAATAGGGTATTAAAAGTATCAACACAAGACAGAACACGAAACAATGGGTATAAATTGGATAAGTTTAGATTTAGGAAAGACTTGGGGAAATACTGGTTCAGTAACAGAGTTGTTGATTTGTGGAACCAATTGCCGCGTAACATGGTGGAGGTGGGGTCCCTTGATTGTTTCAAGCATGGGTTTTACATGTATATGAGTGGGATTGGGTGGTTATAAATAGGAGCTGCCTCGTATGGGCCAATAGGCCTTCTGCAGTTGCCTTTGTTCTTATGTTCTTATATTCAAAGATTTGAGTAAGGGTTGTAACACCCATGACCCCCTCCCCCAGAGTTCACACCCAGGGAAGCCTTCTCCAAGAGGTCAGCCCAGATGACCTCTGGATCATCTTGTATGTTGATTAAAAAATTCCTGGGTTAGTCTTAGTCAGCTAGTTTCAAGTATGTAATATTTCATGATTCTCTTGTCAAACATTACAATGGAATTAGACCCCAGATTCTTATGTGTAAACATCCATGGATCTCCCCCTTTTAGCCAGGTCAGAGGTCAGCCACACTCGTAATTAATACTCCCTCTTTTGAACAGTGTATGGTGAATGTCAAACAACAGCCTCAGCCACACTCGTAATTAATACTCCCTCTTTTGAACAGTGTATGGTGAATGTCAAACAAGCTTGATGGAAAAATTCTTGAGTGTTTGTGCACGTGTGGCCGACCTCTTGCATTTTTGGTGTAGGTAGCAACAGCAAATCTCCCCCTCACCCCTTTTGGGGTGTATATATTGGTCCTGTAGCAGACTTAGGGGCATTACGGGCTCACCATAGCCCGTGCTACACGGACACTTCGTTCTGAGTAGCTAAATCTGAAACAAGACTGAAACAAGACAGAGTGCCGGACACCAGAATCAGGAGTGGATCTGTGAGAACATTGCACAGCCAGGGAGGGACAGAGGTCTTAAGGTAAAGTGTGATCTCTGAGGGTTTTGTTCCATGTCTAAATGTTCCATGTCTATTGGTCAGTGTTAGAGTAGGATTTATAGTGGTGATTAGCATAAGTTTGTTCTCAATAAACTTTTGTTAAATTTCCCGTCTGTGTCAATTGTTGAAGCCTCTTAGCCTTTTGGATATGGTGGGCTGGCAACCGTCCCATAATTAATGACAGTTATAGAAAGTACTCTCCAAGTCAAGCAATGTTTCTTGCCTCGTTGCTTGATATAGTCTCAATGGTCAAGGCAGATGGTGGCAGCGTTTTTTAATCCTGTGTAGCATTTCCTTGTTGGCAGTGTACCTTTTGGTTCCGGTGTAACCATCATATGTCAGCTCATATTACAGTGTTACCGATAGGAAGTGTTACTCAGTATAAGTAGTAGTGTTACATTATTAGTTTATATTATATAGTGGTGTTACAGGGTACCGAGTGCTTCTGGGGCCAGAGTTAGATATTGTTCTAATAGCAGCTCTGTGTTGAATAATTAGAGGACGTAAATGATTTTGTGTAGTAGAACCCCAAGCACAAATATCGTAATTGAGATAAGGATAAATGATAGCATATAATAGAGCGTCAGCAGGGAAGGGCGAGGTACATGATATCTGAAAGAATGCCAACAGTTTTAGAAGTGTTAAAGCTCCCAGCATTCACTATGGATGGCTTGAACCTCAATAAGCACATTGTCCTCTCAACAAGCCATGGCTGCGCCCGTAGTTGTGAGGGAGAAATTGTGAGCGTGTCAAGGCGCAGCCAGACCAGAGAGGCAGCAAGACGTCGGTGACCTGGAGATCGAGGCAGTGGCGTGGGGGGTGCCCCGAGACACACACCCAGGACCTTAAGAACCACATTTACCCCCACCAAACGAGCACGAATCATACAGGAGAGGGTGGCGGATGTGAGGAGGAGGAGAGGCAGCAAGATGCGAGGCAGTAGAAAAGGGTGGAGGAGGAGTCGGGGTTCCTGGCAGTGGCGACAGAGGGCGTTGCTGGAGTGTTTATATTCTTATTGTTGATGTTGAAGGTTCTCCCTGGCGGGTCTGGCTCCTCTCTCACTCCTCCCGCGGTAAGGTAGGCCTCCTGCTGGCTCTCACTCGGCTTGCTGCCCCTCTAGGGCACCACCCTCTACCACTGTAATGTCTGCCCGCAGATATTTGTACAGATTAGTTGGGAGTTTGAGGCTTCTTTTGTCATTGCATGCTCTGCCAGCCAAGGTGAGGGTTCATGTTGCTTCAAGAAACTGAATAGCAGGTTTTTTATCGATTTATTCATTAGTATTTCCTTCAGTGTATGTGTAGTATATTGAATGTGCTACGATAGCGGAAGGAATGCATGAATAGTTCCGTTATAAGGCCAAGGAAACATGTGATGATTCTTAACATAGGCTCAGGAACCGTAATTAACTTGTAGTTTAGTCATAAAAAGGGTTAAAATCTATCACCCGCATCACTGTAGAGACTGTTTGTAGTGACTGCAGATACTGCAGTAATGGAACTGGTGCGGGGGGTAGAAATAGCTTAAGCTACTCTATCCCTTTGAGATGTATTTATTGCTTATCTCAATAAACATACTGGAACTGGAACTTGTGTTTATTGGAAGCAGAAATGTATTATTTTAAACCCTAGTCAAGATGGTGGCAATGTAACCAGAAAATGTAGATAAGTGTTTCAACAAGACAAGAATAAGTGTTGTTTCAACAACAGTTCTAGTGGCCATTGAGTAAATGACCATAGTTAACATCACACACCTCACACAGTACAGAATATTTAGAGAAAATAGTTTTTGTTGGGTTTGTTAGGTTTATTTAAAGAGTAGCATTGATATGGCATAAGGCTCTTATGAGACTAGATGGCTCCTTTTTTTAATGTTATGAGCCCAAGGGCATGTATCTTCAGTACCTAGGTTAGCTTAGGTAAAGGTTATTGTATTAAAAATAACATTGTTGGGAACAGGAAGGCTATTAAACTTATTGTTCAACTTGCCAAGAGAGAGAGGCTGTCTATGTGGTCACCCAGCCAACACTTGACCTGACTAAGTCATCATCTACTGTATTATGTCATGTTTGTATTTTGCTGAAATGAAGATTGCTGTTTGCTTTTCTAATATAAAACACTAAGACTTTTTACAGTACATGTTGTAATGGCTTTAAATACACACAGAAAGGTTAAATTTAGTTAGTGCATCCTTAGTGAGATACTTGTTATACTGCATAGTACAGTGTAACAGTTACTTGTTTCTCCACAAGAAGTGGGCAGGACCTAAGGAAAAAATTAATAATACTGTATTTATTTAGCAGTGATGTTTTATCCATAAAAAAAGGCATTGAAAGGCAACAAAAATTGTCAACGAGGCTGAATAAATAAATGAGGCTGAAATGCCTCATTTATTTCAGTATGTTAATCTGTTTTCTAGTGTACTTGTTGAATGAATATATAAAGTAAGTTTACTTGTTGAATTCTAAAACATGCCTATCAGGACCAGGCACTGTATTATTGTAATTGTATTTCTTTGTTATTTTATGTTTATATCTGCATCAGCAATGTAAAAATGTTTTAATGTAAATTCATTTTGTTGCATAATGTGTAATTAATTGGACACAAGTTGTTTGGTTACTATTTAGAGTACTGTGTTTGTATGTTATATATTCTAGATTTTGCATTGGTAAAACCTGTACTGACCTTTTCCTAATGTAATTTACTATGGTACTGTATATTAAGGTCTTATTTTATTTTATCTCAATGAACAGCATATACAGTACTTGGCTAACTGGAAACCTAGTTAAAAAAAAAATGCCAGATGAATCTTGTATGCACAAATGCAAGGATTCAAACTCCCATTTCCAATCTTGTACATTTCAAATCCTTAGTGTAAGATAAATATATAACTTTTGTTGTTAAATTAAATCTACAGGAGCCATGATGAGGACTGGGTATTCCCAGATGCACACTCTAGATGACTCTGCCATGACATGGTCAAAAAGAATTACATCCTGGGGTACTACTGCACTCTAGGATTCCTGAGGCTTCCACTGAACCCAAACCAGGGTTTCACGCAATCCCCCCCCCCCCATGCACTCTGACTCTGTCATCCAGTAATTCTACCTCTGGTGCTCCTCTTTCAATATACTGTACAGAGAAATAATAATATTGTAAAATATCAATGAGAAAATCCACATGAGCCAAGTCTTCCACTGAGGCTTCAGTGCAAGCCTCAGGAATCCTCGAGGGTGGAGTAGTACCCCAGGTTGCAATTCTTTGGACCATGTTGTGGCGTAGTCGTCTAGAGTGTGCGTCTGGGAATTCCCAGCGCATAGGTTCGAATTCTCATCGTGGCTCCTGTGGATTTTCTCCCCATCCAGTACATGCCACCTACATTTCATATGCCCTAGCATTCATTTTTCTCACAAGCTGGCTGAGACTTCTGGTCACTTGGGCTGCCATCTGGTGGCTGCCAAGCACATCAGTAAGAATATTTACCCTATGGCAATCTATACCCTATCTTTGCCTTGTTTAATTTGAGGGGCCTAATTTCCTTTAAACAGTCACTTGTTTCATTGTGCCTATGGTTTCTGCTGGGTTTTCTCAGTTTTGTGGTTAATTTTTGATTCCCTGTTCCCATTCTTTGTAGTGAACCAGATTCTGATCCTGACTTCCAGTAGGCAACAGATTTGTTGTAAATATAAATAAATGGCTCGGAGGCCATTTATGTTGTACTAAATCTTTGTGAGTAATCCCTATCTTTGTAAATCTGAGATAGGGTTAGAAAGCAACTGGGAGTCAGTCAGGGACTTACAGAAAAGGCCATTTCATTAATTAACACTTCATTTTTCAAGTTATTTAACCTCTTAAAGTTAATTAAAATTCTGTATACTATTCTCTCATTGTTTATATATTTCTCATCAGATATTAAAAAAAAACATGGTAGGGAATACCTGTATGTGTGTGTGTGTGTATGCCTGTCATTATTACAATTATAATTAAAACTGAACTAACTGAAAAACTGAAGGTTGTTATTTCCCTGTATATATAGTAACAGGTTTAACCTTTTTTTGCTTTCATACCTCAGGGTTATTTCATCCTATTATGAATGTTATCATGATACCTAATCCTTCTATGCTTATCATTTTGTCAAAATCTCTTTACTTAAATAAGTGCAGTACTACAGATTTGGATAAAATATAAAATATATCATGCATTTCACAGCCACTTGTAACTGGTAATGTTCTTTATTGTAATTGTAAAAAAAGATCATATCAAAATTTCAAGCATTCAGCTTTTATGAACCATTAATGTTTCTGTCTGTTAGGCAATAAAAAGCAATGTCTTCATGCACCATTGCCAGACATTGTGTTTGGGTTTACTAAGACTTGTCCCTCTGTCTCCTAACAGGGGACTAACAGGACAGTGAGAGCCAGAGTTCACTGTCTATCATTCAGCTGTTCAACATCATTATAATTATGCAGAGGAACTACTGGCAGGTAGCTAGACCATTTATGCTTATTCTTTAAATTATTGACATGGTGTCTACAGTATATGCAAATTCTATCATAAATCTGATTTCTAGATCTAAACAAAAATGGTTTGTTACAATGAATTGTTAGTTCACATTTAGTTTTTAGAATACACAGTATTCATATTGTCAAGGGATTTATTGTACAGTTCATGTTGCAAGAAGTTTCATCTTGGCCCTTTTATTTTAACCACTTGGGCTGGACAGTAGAGCGGTCGTCTCTCTTGCAGGTCGGCGTTCAATCCCCGACTGCCCAAGTGGTTGGGCACCATTCCTCGTCCTATCCCAAATCCTTATCCTGATCCCTTCCAAGTGCTATGTAGTCGTACAACCCGTTCTCGCAAATTTAATAAGTCAATATTGACTTATTAGTTGTGTGCTTGGGTGACATACTAAACATAATAGTTTCCCTTGAAAAGCTTCATAGAAAACACCGACCTTACCTAACCTACTTAGTATGTTAAGATAAGCATCTTATTACTTCGTAATTACAATTATTACCTAACCTATACCTATAATAGGTTAAGTAACAATTGTAATTACGAAGCTATAAGATGCTTATTTTAACATACTAAGTAGGTTAGGTAAGGTCGGTGTTTTCTATGAAGCTTTTCAAGGGAAACTATTATATTTAGTATGTCGACTATGCACGCGACTATGCAAGTCAATATTGACTTATTAAGTCAATATTAATACTAATAAGTCAATATTGACTTATTAAATTTGCGAGAACGGGTTGAGTCGTAATGGCTTAGTGCTTTTAACAGACAGTTCACTTCAGTTCAGTTCAGCCCCTCTTTATCATTTACAACTTTATTGACTCAATATACAGTACAGTACTGTAATACATAAATAATAAAGATTCTCAAGTTTTCATCAATTGTATGTTTATATGAAACAAATGAAAATAATCTCAGAATGCTGACAATATTCTTTTGATTGGAAGTATAGTGAAAACACTTGCATTAAAAAGTTGAGTTCAAATACAATACAATACATTACAGTTGTTCCATTTGCACCCAGAAGTCACTGACAATTTGGATGTAAACTGATAGAGCTCTTTTGAAGGGTATAAGTACTGTACTAGAATAGCCTTTAAAATGAGATGAAGTAGACTCACATGTCAAACCCTGTAAAAATACATATGTCGTCACTGTTTTGAAACTATTTCTATTTCTTGTTTTTCAGTATGAGTAAAAAATAATTGTATTGTTGGCATTCATATATGTATAAACTAATATGGATTATCCTTTATAATACAGTATATGAACCATGTTTAAAAAAAAAATCCTGAAAATTGCAGGACGTATTTCATAGGTAACATTTTGCATTCGTATTTCCATCTTATTTTTGTGTTGGCCCTCAGTAGCTTCCTGGTGCATTGGGTCTGGTATCGAAGGCACATTCACAATCCCTCTAGGCCTTTGAACCTGCACAGAACTACCAAACACAAAGCCAGAATCTGGCATGCTCATAGAGGCAAGGGTAGCATGGGGGATATAAGATCGACCTATAATCAGCAAACTGTTGAACAAGTACAGGCAAATCAAAACAAACTTCATAATTTGATTAAAGAGGGAATTGATGGACAACCAGCAGTATTTTGCCTAAGGTCAGCACTCTGCGTTAGTACCAAAGCAAAGTGGACCGCCACGTGGCTCAAGTCATACCCTCACTTGCATGCCTGGTACCACCTATATTACTACATCACCTCAGCAAAGACCAGCCTCCTTTTATAGTAAAGTTGTTCCTTGGAGCTTTGTTATCCCAACCCGTCTTCCTAATAGAGCGTCACATTTTGATGCATACTTTATCTAAGGCCAAAAATTGTCTATTGTTCAACTAGACATTGGTAGTGGCTGGCAAACTTGACATAATGTTCTGTTTTGGGTCCTCTGGTAGGTTAGGAAATGGGACCTTAGTACAGTGTACAGTATAACAGTTTCTTGACGTTGGGAAACCTTAGGAGGATGGGCTGATTATCCAGTGAGGTACCATGCTTACCGTACTTTTACTTTTTTGTTTCACAACTGTGTTTGTTCCCAATCTTGTGTCCCCCATCTTGTGTGTTAATTATTCCTAATTTTGTTTCAGGTTGTCTTCTCTGGTGTCGGCTCACATTTCTCATTTCCTTTACAGAGTCATTTCCTCCTGAGAGGTTTGAGTGTCATTCTTTCCATGGCTTTTCCTCTTGAGTTGGCTCAGTGTCTAGACGTGTATGGGACTTGGTTCTCATGTCAGACCTGTTAATAGGTGTTGATTAGATATAGTGTGTACTTACCATACTTAGCATTTTTTTGTCATTTGTGCATGGTTATCTCTTATAGGTGTGTCTTGTGCATTTCTGGGACTCTGCTTGGAAGATGAATAAAGATTTTGGTTTAACTCTCTGGCTCTGTATGTTTCCTCACCTATAGTTTACAGAGTTTGGTGTGCAAGAGTTTGCTACACTTCTCTTGCATCAGACACCCCCAGATGTTTTTTAATGGCATAAATGCAAGTTTCCATTGGCACTGTGTGAATTTTTGTACTTCAATGTTCTTGGTTTGTGATGGTTAAATTACCAATCTGCTACTTGGTGTATGCTACTTGCACCTTTCAGAGCATGGCAGTGTTTTCAAACTCCGTTGGACATTCTGCTTACCTCTGTCACTTTGCCTATTTTTTTTAATAACTCATAGGTGTGCAATAATTGTGGTTGTTGGACATCTGTGCTTGCCTGCCATTTGGGTTGCTTCTGCCCTATAAGGGTGTGCCTTAAGGTGCCAAATTTTGCTGTCTGTTACCAGCTCTGCAAAAAGGATGTGAGGAAAGACCTCTCTTTTTATGAGGGAAGATTTCAAGACTGTGGTGATGTGGACTTGTGCTAAATTTGGGGCCTCATGCTTTTGGTTGTCTTGATGTGGCAGAGGTTTGACTTGTTTATCTGGAATCTAATCGTGCTACCTCTGTCTCCACCTCCGTTAGAGAGCACTGAAAAGTCTCTGGTTAGGGCTTTACCTGTTCCAGAGGTATTGATGCTGGGTTCTCCTAGCTTGAGCAGGTATCCCTTGGTGGCAGTTTTGGGGCCTGTGGTTTGTCCACAGTCTGTCCCTGTGGTTTCTCCCTTGTGATGCTACCAAGTGCGATTATTTGCACGCTACTCACACTTCCTGAGCTGTGGCTCTCTTTGGCAATCTTTTTTTTCTTTGGTAGCGTGATCCAAGTTTTCCCAGGGTTATCTGTAGGATGGTTCGGTTCAATCAGCCTAACGTGTATCTGTGTACTCATGATGTGCATAAGTATGCTGCGTTGACTACCTTATTTGTTGATACATAGTTTGTTTTGCTTTCTTGTACTTCCATGGGCAGCTTTACTCAGTTTTGTGTCACTCTTAAATCCCCCAAGCACCCTGCACCTCCTTGAGCATACCACATCCTGGGCCTGGTGTTTGGTAGGTATATGCAAGGCCAAAAGCCTGGTAGTGTTGAGGATGTGTCTCTGATATCAGACTTATTGCACTGGAAAGCTACTGAAGCTGCCCAGAAAAGAGCATTTCATTACATTAAACTTTTTTTTTTTTAGCATTAGTCTTTTGTTTTAAAATAAATTCTGAGAATGTTAGTACAGTACTAACTACTGTAGGTATATCCCCTGGATTTTGCATGTCTATCTTGTCATATTTATGTACTGTGTTTTACAGGGTTTCACATAATTCAATACCTGGTGACCCCTCTCATTCTTTCCAATATAATATATAAAGAAATACTGGTATGTATGTTTGTGTACTGTATATATAGATGATGTACATATTTTGTACATCATTGGTTAACCCCAATATAACTGGTTCAGTGTTTTTATTGGTGGTATAATTATGGAAGTTTTGGTTAAGTAAATTTGGTAGATATTTGATTGATGAGTGTAATTAGTATATAAAAGAGGGTGGAAATGTTGCATAGTGATAACATTATACTATACTTCCAGGGGAGATAGTAGGATAACTGCATAACATTATCAGGAAGTATGCAAGAGGAATACAATTAAGGTAAATTAAACTTGGAGCAAGATTTATTTGCTCTATTTATTTATTTTTTCCTGAAGTACAGTAGGCCTATAGCTGAAAGATTAGAATATTGAAAAGGGTCACAGATTTTGAATATTTGGAAATAGTTTCAGTAAATATGATTGAATGAACATTTGAGTATCTCTATTCTGAAAGTCAACCGGGTAAAAGAGATTTAAGAAAGACATGACAAAGAACAAGGTGAAAGTATTTGGTGGTTAATGAGTAGCTCTATTCAGGCTAAAATATCATGTTTTGTTCAAAAATATCCCACCAGGTCTGATTTCCTTTCAGTTTGCTGCTATTAAATTTAAATGTCATTTAATCTAGATAACCTGGCTAAATTTGTTGATAGTTAAGCACCTCAAAGTTTGAATCCTCCAAGACATAAGTGTAAGTGAATTTCAGATCCTTCAAAGATCGTTTTCAGTCTGGGTAATATTTTTTCTAGACTATGAGTACTGTTTAGCAATTTCATAGCAATATAGTGTAAGTCTATTATTTACCCATTTATATTGATATACAGGTATACTTGTAACATTTTACAGAGACCAGTGGTGACCATGGCTACAACACATACAGTACGGACAGTAGGAAGCATGCCTGCAAAATTTGTGCCGAGGAAGAGATTGCGGACAAGACCATCAAGCAATGGTTTCCACCGAGTGGCTCTAATCCATGGGGAGCCAGAGCATAAGGTCAGTAATGCTTTTCAAATGATTATTACTACTGGATAGAGTATTGGCATGAGCAGAAGATCAAAAGTGAGGTTTGAAGGTACAGCTATTCCTATTTCTAATGATAGGAAAAATCTCCCTCTGCATTCTACATCAACAGATTCTGGAGCTATCCTGGCTCAGAATCACTCCAAACACACAGTTGTTTGTCCGGGGGCCAGTGGCTGAGTGGAGGGGGCTGGTGGCTGAGTGGACAGCACGCTGGGGACGTAATCCTGTGGTCCGGGGTTTGATTCCCGGCGCCGGCGAGAAACAATTGGCAGTTTCTTTCACCCTGATTCCCCTGTTACCTAGCAGTAAATAGGTACCTGGGAGTTAGACAGCTGTTACGGGTTGCTTCCTGGGCGGGTGGGTGTGTGTGTGTGTGTGTGTGAAAAAAATAAACAAAGTTAGTAGTTAGTAATATTGTAGTTGATTGACAGTTGAGAGGCAGGCTGAAAGAGCAGAGCTCAACCCTCCACAAGCACAACTAGGTCAATACAGCTCATATAACACTGATCTGACATCAATTTTATATATGCTTATTATATATGCCTATATAACATCAAGATTCTGAACTGATCCAACTAAATCATCTAGCAGTTCCCGTGTCACTAGTCCAACTCGCAGTTCCCATAGACATCATGAAGGACATCATGCTCTGTAGCATTAGAACATACGGATTCTATTATGTGTTCACATGCATTATTCATTTCTTTCCACCTTTTGAAGTGAGAGGATTAATTCATTAGCTCCCTCGCCTCTCATTAATCTAATCGTCGAAGCTTCAATTATCTCTGAAATTCTATCCCTGATACTATCTCAGTAATAGTATTTCTTGGGCCATGAAAATAATCTTGGGATTATTCTCATGAAGCCCATGGCTCGTGGGCTTCATTTTGTACCTTCTCTAACTTTAGCGCCTTTACCAAAACAAGAAATGACAATGGGCAGCATAATCAATAAAAAGATCTCAAAGCATGCCATGTGATTACCATTGGAATGTGAAATGTAAAATTACATTACAGTACACAATTAATAATTGTGTACTGTAATTGTATTGGTTTGAGAGCCTCTTGAGAGACCTTGTATAGATGAAGGTAGAAATAGAAAAAACTTCTCTATCCTTTTGAGATGTACTCCCTTTTCTCAATAAACTTACTTGAACTTGAAATGAACTTATGTATGAATTCAAGCAAAATAATTTTTTGGAGATTTTACCTGTAATTGATACAGGTGTTTTGTTCATCATTTACTGATGACTTTATGCAGGACATTGCCGATATCTCTCACTTTTCCATATTTTACAATCTAGTCTATAAATGTGTTCCTGCTTTTTCAATTACTTTGTCATTCTTCATATTTTCATTTACCAGTTCCTTTAAATATTGTTAAATCTATGTTTTTTACAGATTGATGAGTTCATGATCTATAGTGATGAAGAAGAGGATGAAGAGGAGAATGACGGAGAGGAAGAGGAGAATTCCCGTGATGGAGGAGGTTACATTGCCTTGGGTGGCGTGCCCCACCACCCGTCACACACGCACCATACTGTACGACGGAAACAGTCTTTCATGCAGGTAAATTAAAGTTTATTATTATTATTATTATTATTATTACAGTATTATTATTATTATTATTAGTATTATTATTATTATTATTATTATTATTATTATTATTATTATTAAGGATAAAAAATCCACACTTATATATTTGTGTATTTTATGTAAAGATTTTATACTACACCAAGTACAGTAGTTTGCACTCTCCTAAGTGCAAACTCAGGAGAGTTTGCAAGGTCTGCATTTCAGATCAAGGTCTGAGTATATGGTTAGGATGGGACTTGCATCTCAACAACTAATTTGGTTGCTAACTAGAATCCTACTTGACCTCCTGACCATGTCACCCTCTATTCCCAACTGCTGATGTTCCTGTTGCTAAAGATTTAGCTACTCAGGACGAAGTGTCCATGTAGCACGGGCTATGGTGAGCCCGTAAGATGTTCCTGCGGGGTGTCGTCTAGGAAATTATGATCAGTTGACTTTTTTGTCATCTTGGGATTCTGAGAACTGGAGTTGTTGATAATAAAGGTATTCGTCCAGATGCTTACCTTTCTGGATGTTTGACCCCGGTCGATGGCAGACATAGAATGCTTCCAACCACACGGGGGTTTCTATAGGCCATTGCTTCCTTTGCCTCTCTTAGGGGGGCCAGGTTCTGGCTGTGGTCCCCGGTAGGCCCTAAGAACTCTATACACATGACTGATGCCAAAGTCTGACATTAGCACATCAGCCTGGTATAGCTCCAGGGAGCCTCCGGGTCACACCCAGAAAATGGCATGTCATTACATTCAACGCTGTTTTTTTTTTTTTTTATTATTAATATCATGTTAGTGTGAATCAAAATCACATAAGGCTAATAATGATGAGTTTTCTATTTTGTCCCCTTCTAATTTCAGAGACAGTGAATAACTAAATTGTTCATGTGCCTGGCTTGAAGCCTTACTGATCTCCATGCAGTTCTAATTTTCTGAATTGTACATGCTTGTTAAGATGGTTCTCATCTTGCCTCACATTTTTGTCACTAATGCAAGCAAGAGGCATTTGTTTTGTGTAAGTGATAATCAAATGTAAAATATTTCAGGTGTTTACTGAAGCATTAAGCATTTGAGGTCATTTAAATATCTTAATGATTCTACTTCTTCACTTCTTCAAGGAGATGGGAAGGATTTTGTTGGCAACAATGCTTCAAGGATACCTATTGCTGTATAGTTAATATTCTTAAGTTTCTAAGCAATATTTGATGTCTATAATTCATAGGAAGTTATTAGATTTTTAAATTTCATATGTGCAATAGTTAAGAATTTTAAATAGAGTTTTGGGTATTAACTCGACTTTGGTAATCAGGTACAGTATTTCTTTGTTCCATGATAAATCATCCCATCCTCTTAAGTTGATACAACAGACTGAAAATGGTGTACTAAAACTACCAAACCTAACCTACCCTAACCGAGTGACCCATGCATAGAAAACGTGAATGTTTGAGCCACTATGATTTATAGTACATCACATTTTGTCTGTTGGGGATATTGATAAAAATGCAATGTATTATTCTAGAGAACAGATTGGACATTGGTAGTTCAAATTTTTTTGAAGACAATTTATTGTTTATGAAACACAACATTTTTTAATACAGTTCATTTGTTTCTTCAGAAGTACCAGCCATTAAGTCGCAACTTTGCAGACTATGTCTTAACAAGATCTCGGGGATGCAGCAGACTCGAACACCAACACATAAATGAAGAATTTGGAACAAGGCACATGCTAACAACAGGCATGTTTAGGGAGCGGCCAATTTCCCTCAACCGAATCAATAAGGTTAGTGTAGAAATTTGATTTGGAGGTTTTGCAGGAATGTATTAGGGTAAGAGAAGTTGTTTCTTTAGAAAATGGCACTACAATCAAGTCTATAGGTGCAGTGTGTACCGAGATACAACATTTGCCGAAATAACAAAAGATTTACCTTGTAGAAGTGAAAATAAGCTCAGTTGCTTAAACACCAAGTTAAGAGAGTAGACTTTATTGAAGATAACATTTTGGCCATAATGATGTTATCAAATCTAATATTATCTTCAATAACAGTAAGCTTTCTAGTTGGTGTGTGTGTATATATCTTTGTTTCACTTTGTGCTCTATTCAGGAAATGGTCTCAATTATTTTAGTGTCTAGAATATCATGATTTTACAGATTAATGTAGAGTTGAACAGGTAAATGTTGTACCTGTATATAACATTTTTTACTATGATGGCATATAATAACTGGGGCAATTAATAGTTAAGTTATTCCTTGTATCAAATTAGTGAAGGACTAAATTGTTTTTGTGAATCATGCAGCCAAAAGAAGTTAGTGTAAATCAAAATCACATAAGGCTAATAATGATGAGTTTGCTATCAAAGAACTAATGCCTGTATGTTTTTATTTTTAGTTTAGACTTGTGAAAGTTATAAGAACAAATCAAACGTGTCAAATAATCAACCTGTATATAGTTTCCGTAAAGTTTCACTTTGTTTTGGAATTGATCAAACATTTGTTGTTACAGGTGTTCTGCTCTCAGTGGTTGAGTGATCATCAGATAGCAATGGGGACTAAGTGTAATAAACTGATGGTTTATGATGTCAATACAAGACAAATGGATATAATTCCTTCCTTGCGTAGTTCAGAATTGCATCGTCCGCCAGAACAGCAGTGTGGAATTCATTCAATTGAAATAAATCCCTCTAGGACACTCTTAGCCACCGGTGCTTTAAATTCTAATGATATCGCAGTTTACAGATTGCCAACGTTAGACCCAGTGTGTGTTGGTGAAAAAGCTCACCATGATTGGATTTTTGACATGTGTTGGCTAGATGACCAGTTTCTTGTGTCAGGCTCAAGAGATACCCGCTTGTCTTTATGGAAAATAGATGATGATATGGAAATAGAAAGCTCCCGTAATCTGCCTAGTTATGGTCACATTAAGCCAGTGAAAGTTAAGAAGTGTAATGGTGCTGAGAAGGTGCGTGCTGTAATTTTTAATCCCAACTTTGTTGAGATTGTTGCTTTATCTCTAAATGCGTACCTTCACGTGTGGGACGCTAATCGTTTTGTTCAGAAAATGTCTCGGAAGCTTCCACATGCCATGGAGAATGTTTGCCTAACAAGAAAAGAAGATAGCTCGCTCTATGCAATAGGTTCTAAATCACATACAACTCTGCTTGATCCTAGAACTTTACATTATGTCAGAAAGGTAAGTGAATTTGTATGTTGTTGATTTTAGATTTAACTATCTTTACTTGGAACTAAAGTTCCGCGTAGCACGGGATATGGTGAGCTCGTAGTGGACTTGAACTTGTATTATTTATACTCTTTATACTTTTTTTTTACAGCAAAAATAATTGATTTTATAGCTTCTAAAATAAATATTCTAGTAAATGAAAGTAGACAATTGCATTTCAGTTATTTTTAGAAAAGCATTTTGTAATTTATGTACAATACTGTTTTATAACAATTTTTATTGCTTAAGATCATGAAGTTAAATTAGGAGGAGATATGACTGAATTATACAAGTGAATAAAGGCATAAATAAGATGAGAGGAGATACAATGTGTTAAAACTGTCAACTTAAGATAAAGCCGATAACGGGGGTATTCAGTGGAATCAAATTAAGATTGAAATAAGTATACTGTATTCCAATGCTGTATGGTGAACACAGGGTTGGCAGTAGAATTGTAGATAAGTAGAAATAAATGCTTAGCAGCATCCTTGAAGCAAATATTTTAAAATTATAAAAATAGGGTAGACGGATCGATGGCAGAAAACAATTGGGTGTAAATAGGAATTAGCTTGCATGAGCCAGTAAGCCTGCTGCAGTGCTCACTTCTTAGTTTGTGGATAGGTCGATGGTGGATAGGTGTCAAGTTACTCGGCGATCTTCTGAGAAGAATGAGGACAGGGATTATTATTGTATTCCCAGGTTGAAACTATCACCCTTTGTCCAGGTGGCTGAAAATATACAGTATATCGTTTATTTTACACAACTTAAGTCAAGCACAAAGTAATTTTGTAGCATTTCTGTTAGGCTGAACTTTAAGACACTGTTCAGAGATCAACAATAATTCATTTAAATTAAATTACTGTACAAAGAAATTGCAAATATAAAACTGGTTAAGATGATAAAATTTACCTGCTATATGGTAAGGCTCTCTTACTATGATATACATTCCAAGAATGAATTAAATATCTTTAACTGTTCTTTTGATATACAGTAAAAGCAAACAAATTTACTCTAGTGCAAAAAGCATCTGAGTATTTCTTGAGATTAGGTCATGTTTGTAGAATTTTTACGTGAAACTAAGCATTTCATTTTTAGATATACTGTACATTCCTTAAGATCTCTTTCCCCCCTTCCCTCCTTTCCCTTCACAAAAATATCCAGTGGTAATCATAACGTATTCTATACATGAGAAGACCAGTTGATAAGACCACTGGTTTCCTTATCTAAACCTAACATAACCTAAACTAACATAACTAAATCAATAATTCATGGGTGGTTCGGGTTGTGTCCTCCGGCATGTTCTCTGTTTTGGCATGTCCCGCTTTATATGGGGTTCGGGGACTGGTTTGGCTCGTAGTGGGGCAGCATGCTTCTCATTTTCATTGCCTTTCCTTTGGCTGGCTTCTGGAAACTAGTGTTTTCTGCATCTTACCCAGTTTGTGGTGGCTTTTCTACATCTGCTCTGTATTCGTCTGTTGGCCCATCTCGACAATTGGTTGGTGTTGGCTCTCAGCTAGTCTGCTTGTCTGGTCACCGGAGGTGGTGGTTCTTTTCCGGTTCACCAGGTTCGGGTTCCTGGAGCACTGGAGGAAGTCCCACCTGGTTCTGTCCCTGGTTCGGACCTGGCTGGGGCCTGTGTGTCTCTCTCAATCCGCTTTCTTGACTCTTCCCCTGGAGGCGTTGCTGTGGCTGTGGTCCCACCTTCAGCTGTTTCTGGGGGGCGAGCTTCATGCTCTCCTCATGCACAGGGGTTTCTGCTCTTAGGGTCCTGGTAGTCAGTTTGTTCGGTTGCAGCCTTCTTCTTTTCTGGCGAAGAACGAGACAGCCACTTTCAGGAGGGGTCCTTGGGTCATTGACGCTTGGTTGGTCAGGCCGGGGATACGCTTTGGGTTGATCCGGTTTCCCTTGTTCCCTGTTCCAGGGCTCGGGTCTCCCAGGTCGTCCGTAGGGTTACGTCTCGCCAGCCTGCGGTCTATCCTTGTGCCTAGGACATGTGTATGTTTGCTGTTTTGGCTGCCATTTTCGGCAACATGTCTTGGGCTGACACTCGGGTGCGGGGATTTTGGAGGTCGCACAGGGTCCTGACTGCCCATTATTTGGTAAACATTCCTGGTCCTGGGCGTTCGTGTGTGGCTTAGGGTCGCAGGTTGCAGTCAGTTGAGTTGTCTCGCCTTTGAATAGACAATTCCTGGGTATGTCCTTCTTTTCCTTATCTTTGGTTATGTAGCTCCAGGGAGCCGAAGGGGCTCCCCGCAGAAAACCAGCTTTGAATGTAATGAAACGCCATTTTCCGGGTGATCCCCAGAGGCTCCCTGGCACCCTCCCTCCGGTCGGTGGTTTTCGCGTTGTTTTGATGCTTAACCTCCGAACTAAAGTTATTGAGTAGCCACCGACGTGGGTCTGGGGCTCCCCCTTCCCCTCCTAGGTAAGGGAGGGCTGCACGGAGGCGAGGTATGACATTTGCTTGCTTCCTTGGAATTTCGGGGAGTTATGCCTCTCTATTTGGTTTTTGGTTGCAATTGTTTTTACAAAGTTGGGTCTGTTTTGTTATGCCTACCTTTCTGGGTGCCTAACCCTGGTCTATAAATGACAGATTAGGAACCCCTCCCCCCCTTGTGATTGGGGGTTTTCGAGGGGCTATTGCTCCCTGTGCCTTTCTGAGGGAGGCCAGGTTCTGGCTCATGATCCCCAGTAGGCTGAACTCCATTGACTTATGCCCTAGTCTAATATATCGCATATTAGCCCGATAGCTCCAGGGAATTTCCGGGGCTCACCAATAAAATGGCATTTCATTACTTTCAATGCTGGTTTTTCATATATTGTAGCAAAAAAATAACCATGTTATAAAAATCACCAAAAGGATTGGATGGGGTCCAGGCCCAGTTGATGTGGATAATGGTGATCATGTACCATATTGTATAGTATACAATATTGTTCTTCCATTGTTTTATTTTTACTTTATAATTGTTTTTCTTGTTTAGTTTCTATCATGCTATTTCTTATCTTGTTTGTGTTTCCTGAAGCGGTTGCATCTCCCAATATACTTTTGTTCCTAGGTGCAAGTAAGTGGATACTACTACACATTCACACCAGCCAAACTAACGTAGTACTGTACATTAAGTTTTAACAGGTGCTGCAAGTGATCTTTCAAGTCTTTGGAACACTTAGGTGTTCGAAATCTGACTTATAGCTACCTCAGATAATACAGTATACTGGACAGAGAAATGAACACATCAGCTAAAATAGTCCGTTTCTAAACAGTGGAGTTGTACCGTGGCTATAATGAATTATTTATTATGTGAGCATTTTAAGTAGATTTATTGAAAAGGAAATTCAGATTTTATATCTTTCTTCAGGTTAATGCACGAATAACCGGGTGTGGAATACGTTCTGTAAGCTTCCATGGTGATATTCTAACCATAGGAACTGGAGTGGGAGCCATCATGTTTTATGATATGCGAGCTGGAAAGTACATGGAATCGACTATGAATAGGTAAGTCTAAGTACATTTTTTCCATTATTCTTTACACCTCGAGAATGACTCGCTTACATAACATTTGGCAGCTTATAATTTAAAATATCTCCACCTCCGTATTCTCTTGATTCTACAATCAACCTTATTTGAATCTTTCTTAGAGTTTCTGTAAACTTTTCTGAGTTACAGTATTGGAGCTATTTCTTTGTATCCAGTTCAAATACAAAACCAAATTGTTCTCATACAAAATTACATGGCATCTTTTTAGAACAGTATGTGATAATTTTGTTTTATTTAAACCTAGTACATTGTATGTGTATCATCTTCCTCAAGCATTTAACCATGTTGTTCATCATCATCATTTGTTGATCTCCTGGGTCACCAGTCATTATCATATGACTGCCTGACTTTTATACTAGTGATGTTATAGTAATATGGTTATACTATAGACAGCCACTTGGTTTGTGAACTTATCGAACTAGTTCGAAATTGTGAACTTGTGTTATCCGAAAGTTCCAGTTTCCCAATTGGGTTTGGGGTTTCACGCTATACAAACTAAGCTCGGGTGAGGAAGCAGTCCGTCAAGCCTCGTGCCAGCCCGGGGTGGTGGGTAGGTGGCTGGAAGATGGCCTAGTTTGCCCACTGACCGTGTTGGTCGCCACCACTCTAGAGTGCCTTCTACCCTGTGATGTCACAGATTCACGGAATATTTTTCCCATTGTTTTAATTTCTCACAAGGCTGGAGTGTTCATTCCGTGACTTTGTTTTACATATCTGCACAATTAAGGAACATCCATGCACCATGTATGCTCCAAATGCACGCATTGTGTCAGTAAAAGCATCAACAAGCAGGATATGTAAAAGAAAGTGGTCAGTGATGACATTTGAGAAGAAAGTTGAAATAATTAAGAAGGTGGAGAGCGGTGTCCCAAAAAGTGTCACGTGCGCTGAATGTAGCATTAGCAAAAGTACTGTGTATCATCATCTTAAGGCTAAACCCATCATTTTTCATTATTTCTCTAGAAGTGAAAGTTGTAAGGCAATATGAAATAGAAAGGTAGTAAGTAAAGCAAAAGTGCAGTGTGTTGATAATGCTCTGTGGGAGTGGTACAAACAGAAGCGTGAAGTGACGAAGAAGCCAATGGCAGGCTGGCTGCTGGTGGAAAAGGCACGTGAATTTCAGCTAGCAATGAAAATTACTCAGAAGTGTGTATACAGTAATCGATGGGCCAGAAGCATTAAAACCTGCTATGACATTAGTTCATTAAAGTACATGGTGAAAGATAATCTGCTGAAACTATTGGTGCTAATTTGTATTCAGAAATTTGCGTAGATGGTGCAGGAACAAAATTTATCTCCAAAGCAAATTTATAATGCTGAGGAGACAAGTTTGTACAGTACTGGCGTTTGTTGCCTACAGACACGATGGCTCATAGTGATGAAGACGAACCTTCAGGTGGTTATAAGCAGAACAGATAATTTCTTTGTTGTGCTGTGTAAATGCAGCTGACATGCAACAATTGAAATTACATGTGATTGGAATTAGCAAAAACCCCAGGGCTTTAAAGTCAGCTAGGTCCTCCTTGTGATTTATAAGAACCAGTCAAGTGTGTGGATGTCTCGAGTAATATTTGCCAAGTGGTTTAACCTCCAAGCTGCTAAGGGCTATTTGGCCTTTGACACCCACAGGTGCATAAAAAAAAATAAAAAATTTGTTCGTTCTTATAAACCTGTTAATTTGTGTTCCCTGATCACGGGAAAAATATTAAAAAAATCTTAAGTGGTATATTTTGGTTACAATAGGGCGCGGAAGTCAGGCAAAAAAAAAAAAAAGAGGCGCTGACTCGGCAAGCGTCGGAGGAGTTCTGCTCCCCCACAGCTGTCAGGCGGGTGTTGCCACAAAGATATAATTACCTAATTATTTCAATGTCTCTGATTGATGTTTTCTTAGTTTTTTGCAGTAATATTATTCAATAGTGTGCAGTACAGTATGATTTATTTATATAATAAAATGAGTGAATCATCGCTGTATTCAAAATTATGGTTTGCATATTATTGATTCAATTATTATATTAATAAAACCATAAACAAATACTTCTGCAGTTATTACACTATATACACAGGTTATATATAAGTGTCTGCATGTTTTGTTCACCATAACGAACCACTTAGTTGATGTTGTGAGTCAAAAAGCAACGAAGAGTGGCCAGCCAGCCAGTCGCTACCACTCCCTCCCTCAAAAACTCCTCACTCGCCAGCATCCTCCTCCCACCATAATGTTTTTGCTTTTATTCGCTACATACAGACGTTATATATAATTATCTACATGTTTTGTTCACCATAACTGTTCATCTAAGCTGGCATAGTGCACAAAGAGCATAGTTTCTACCCTTACACAGCATGACAAGTCAGGAAGATGATGCCACCTCCCTCACCATAATGGCTTCTTCCAACACTTCTTTTGCTGTTATTACACTATATATGCACGTTATATATAAGTATCTACATTTGTGTTTACCACAGCGAACCACTAATTTTGTATGGTGACGGCAGACAGTAACAGGTGGCCACACACAATTGATTTTCCCTCCCTCCCTCCCTCAATGGTTCAAGGCCAGATGCACTAACATTCCTCCTTCAAGTACTGTTCAAGTCCCTGTCCACAGTCAGGGATCTTCTGTAATACTATCATTACTAAATAATACCAGTTACATATATTTTTGGCATTTTTAGGTGATGCCATGGTCACAAGCTGAACAGCAATGCTGTGAGCTCATGCTGCGTGCGCTAGCCTTAGTGACTGACTCAGTACTGAGGCTCTCACACCCAGGAATGTTGCCCATGATTTAAAAAAAAAAATGGTGTCTGTTTACAAGAACCCTGAGGAAGGTGATGTGAACCCCGTGTGTCCGTGGGTCGTTTAAATCTTGTGTAGTACTCCAAAACTTCATATGCAGTTTTGTGCAGTTTAAGGGTTAATAAGAACTTTGTACTCAAGGTGAAGGAGCACCTGAAAAGTGTTGGCCTGCTGCAAAACAGCAAAGTTTTGCTGCTACTAGATAATAGTTCAACGCATCCACAAGGTAATGAGTTGGTAAATGGCAATATCATTGGAACATTCTTACCACCCACTACAACTTCACTGATCCAACCCATGGATCAAGGGATAATTAAGAACCTTAAACACCACTACAAGATGTTTGCCAGATGTCTTAATAATCAGCTAGGAGCAATTAAGGACTTTTATAAAGTCTTCACAATAAAGTCAGCCATCTGGACTATTGCTAGTGCATGGGATGAGGTACAGCAAACAATATTAAGAAAAAATGGAAAAATAAAAAAATCGTTGGCAAAATCTTTGGCCCACGTCAAGTGTGTTTCCTGAGGAAGATGACAAGGCAGATTTTGAAGGATTTGCGGCTAAAAAAGATAGCGAAAGGAAAAAATTAAGAGGAACTCCTAGCCTATGTCAAGGGGATCAAGTCCCCTGAACTGAGAGCCGAACTGGTGACTGAAACAATAGAAGATGACATAGATAGGTGGATAGATTTTGATGAAGAAGCCCCAAACAGTCAAAACATGACTGATGATGAAATTATAGAATTAGTACAGTATGTGCAGCAAAAAAGCCAGAAGAGTGCAGTGAAGAAGATGGCGAGAAAGAGGAAGAGGACGAAGAAATGTTAAAGGAAAAATGTAATATGGAAAAAGTTCAGCAACATTTTGAAGGCATACTGGCATTTATGGACATGAGTAACAGTGAGTTTGAAATTAAGGACATGATGAGCCTGTACAATTTATGTGAAGTTTTTGAATAATATTAAAATACCTGTATTAAAATGCAATAAAAAACAAAATATATCTATTAGGAAACCTTAAGTGTAGGTTGACTGAATCCTGGCACACCATTTATTAACTGCCTCATTGCATCCAAATTTAAAATCTGCTCTTTTTCTATCTGACTCAGCCACCAAAACTCTCCTGGCAATGAACTTCAAAACCTGTACAGTACTTTGTGATTTTCTGTCAGAAATAGTGGTACCAACCCCAAGATGATCACTTTTGTATATCAACTTATCCTCTAAAAAACAAATAATGTCTCGTTTTCAGTTTTAACTAGTTCAGCAGTATTTTTGTTGGCAAACACCCTATAAACTCTCAAATAAGTCAGGCTAATCCTGGTAAAGTAAAGGAGGAATCAGAATGTGAAAGAAAAGGCTGCAGTGAGTGAGACACGTGCATAACATGAGTAAATATCTGCATAAATGTCTTTGAAATGAATAAAGAAGATTTTTTCTTAAATATTGTACTATAAATACAGTTTGTACAGTATAATAATTAATTCATTATTTGTGTGTAATAATTTATGGTTACAGACCTGAAGACATGGCAGAAACGTTAAAATTAGGAAAGCCTTGATTTAACAATGTGTACAATCCTAATTATTTAATTGGGTGCACTATACAGTACATTCATCAATCTGTATATTGTATGTACAGTATATAGATTTATAATTGAGGTTTCACTATACTGTACATAAATAAATCTGTATACTGTAGATAGATTTATAATTTGAGGTTTCATTATACACATGCATATATCTGTATACTGGTTGTACAGTATAGATTTATAATTGAGGTTTCACTATACATACGCAAATTTGTATACTGTACGTATATAGATTTACATTTATCTACTAAATGGCTTTCCTGGCTTGGTCTGTTTTGATAATTACTTATGTTCAGGCACCTAACTCGCTGAACTATAATTTTTTTCCATTAATAACTATTTTTTATGTAAGTAATATTTGAAGTTTGATAAGAATATTCTTTTTCACAGTGGCCGAGCTGTTGTGCTAAAGAGTACAAAAGGATGGGTAAGTGCAGATGATCAATATCTTGATGTCTTTCACAATGTGGAATACACCCCGGCAATATACACCCATTGTTATGACTGGTCAGGTATGCGACTCTTCACTGCTGGTGGGCCACTACCAGCTTCTCTAAAGGGCAATTATGCTGCCCTCTGGTGCTGAGACTTGACAACATATAAATTCTAATTTTCTAGATATTGTAGTGAAATGTATTTCTTTCAACATTCAGCAGCCTTTTATAGGTACATTAAATTCAAGAAGATTTTTGAGGTCTTAAAAGATAAAATTTGGATAGCTTGATGCCATTTATTTAAAATATTTATAGGATTGTTGATGAGATGTAGGTAAATAAAGGAAGGATTTTTCTTACACATGCTGTGTATCAGTTAAAATTTTGCCAGGAGATACGTGGCCAGACCTTTACTGAATTGTCACTAAAAGTGTAAGCTCCTGAATGAAGATAGTCAGATGCCATCTTTCAAATGCCAGAAGAATCTTGCACTTAACTGATGTTGACCAAACCATTCCAGATACTGTATTTAACTCATTCCATCTTAATCTGTTGTCAGCGGGTTCGTGTGTAGTAGTCATCCCTCATTCATGTCCAGGCTAATGCACTTCTTATACTCTAACAAAAGTTTAGGTGGAATCTGAAACTATAGCATTTGAAATGTGGCCTTTTTTTTTTTTTTTTTTTTTTTTTTTTTGTAAGCTTTACTCTGGTAAAGCATATCTGTATAATTTTAATATATTTTATGTACATACTGTGTTAGCTCATTTGTTGTACTTGTAATAAAGTAACAAATAATAGGTTGATCATTTTAACTACAATACATCCTTTTTGGGAATATAATAATTAGCCCATCATCTCAGTTTTTCTGTTTCATTTTAAGCCAAGAAATTGTTTAATTTAATACTGTAAATAAACTTTTAAGATTCTGTTTAGTTAGGTGTGGGCATTGTAGTGAAATCTTGCTGAAAAGTTGTTATATATTAAATGCTGTATATAAAAGGCTAAGTGCTTGCCCATTCTTAGACTAATACAATATACCTTGATTACTATTGCTGCATTATGCTAGCATGCATTATCTTGGTAAAATACAATCCAATAATTCTGTGAGAATGTTAAAGTAAAAACAATATTTTGGTACTAAAATATTAAATTGTAAGTTTCCCCAATTTGAAGATTATTCTTGTACTGATGTAATGAAACCTTTGCCAGTTACAATTTTTTTTTTTTATATAAACTAAAATTACCTTTGTTGATGCATCACAGGAATTGTTTATTGGGTTTTCAAAAATACCTCATTATTTAATAAATAAGCCAAGCCTGTACCAGCTGTTGGATTATTTTTAATATATTTTAAATTACAAATCCTTGGTTCAAGGATATCAAATTTTCAAATAAATGTCACAATATGAAATGTGATTAGTAAGAAAGTGCTTAGAGTTGGTTGAAAAAGTTTAAATACAGGCGCACCTCGAAAATAAAGATTTTATCATTCTGGATTTGCAGAAAATCCGGAAATTTGCTCATTTCTTTTACCATTTACCACCAAATTTTCTGTTTTTTTTCCCTTACAGCATGTGATACAATGTATGTTTATGTATAGACAAATAATATACAATGATTTTGGTGGGATGGTACTCCTGGCCTCGTGGCTTCTTTTGATTATTACTTTGGTGGGGTATAAACATTACTTGTAATGTATAAATTTTAAAAAATATTTGATTACCTTTTTGGAGCATAGGCTAGTCTTCTTAACCCAGTACATGTAATAGCAGGATATAGTACTACTGTACAGTATATGGTATGTACAATGCAATACAAAGCCTTCCACATTGTACTGTAACTGCCCATGATGATGCATAATTCACACACAGTATCATCCAGCTGGTTTGTTAGTATTTCTTTAACTGCAATGTTTTTTCTGTTACTTCCACCACTGTTTTTCTTCTTACTGACAAACTTCATTTCCTTCCTCTGCATTTCAATATCCAAAACAACAATACAATAGTGCCATACTCCTCTGCCGATTGTTTGCCTGCCACACCATGATCCGATTTCTCAAATAGCTCTGCCTGTTTATTCATGGTAAGGAAATTTGCCTTGCTCTTACCTGGTCCACTTACCAAAATACCACTCTTGCCATATGACAGCTTCTAATCACATAATTATATATTGAACAAAAAAATCCAGATTTTAGTAAAATCCACTTTATTAAAGGTAGGATTTTCGGGGTGCTTCTGTATAATAGTACTGTATTAAATAGGCCGTGGAATGAAGTGCAAATGTGAGTAATAGCAGCAGGTGATTCATTAGACCATTAAGGTAAGTATATGCAGAATAACCTACCTAAATGTCTGAAAATAAGAAGTGATCAGTAATTTCTTGAAGTCAATGATCCTATACAGTATATAAAATATGCAGTTAAAGGATATATTTATCACTGTGAAAATAGTAGTCAACAAAGTGAAAGAAATAAACTATTTTAATTAGTTACATGATCTTTTCTTTTATAATTTCTATAACCACCTTTCAATATTTAGTACTATTTACCATTTATATGTCCAGGCTGAGGCCTCAACAACATATGAAAGTGGGGAATGGGATAACAATAATTGAATCAGAAATATTAAGTACAGTATAAGATTGATCATCAGCTGGCAATGTTAAACATGACTAACTGACATGGGTCTGATGCATTCTAGTCAGACTAGAGATCAAAGCTGCCATGGAAAAGTAACAGTGTAGTTTGTTCAAATATTGTGCTGGAATAAAAATTAAATTTAATTCTTTCTACCTAACACTATGTAGTGTTATGTAGCAGATGCTGAGAAAGTATGACTGAATATTTCATGAAGATAAGATATACAACTTTCAAGGCTTTTTCTGAGGAACTTGCAGTTAGTGGCAGGAGTGTGGGTGAGCGAGCTTTGTGACAGTGATTCAAGATTTTCCTCTTAACTAAATCAGGTTTGATTAATGTATGTGATGGTTTGAATTAAAGTACAATATGTAAAAATTTTCTATGGCAAGCGCTGTTTGTATTACATTCATAAATAGTATTCTACTTTGGGCTACAAAATCATTATATTGCATGGCTCCTGATCAAAATGTAACACACAACCATATTATTTAAACAGCACAATAAAATTGATAGATAACACACCTTTAATTTTTTTAAATTAAATCCTTTAATTTTTTGTTTTTCTGTTACGAGTAGCTTTATAACCATTACCCTTTCATGTCTGCTGCCTTACATGGGATGATTACCTTGTTTACTACTGTGATAACACTTGCCTCAAGACGATGATTCCATACGACATCAAATATTGTAGAAGTATTAACAAATATTTTGTAAAATATAATTTCCCTTTAAATTTTGTTATATAAATAAATGTAAGTATTTTTTTAAATATTTTCAGAATCGATAAGAATAAAAGAATGAAGATAACTGCAGAAGGCCTATTGGCCCATACGAGGCAGCTCCTATTTATAACCACCCAATCTCATTCATATATATATATATATATATCTAACCTATGCTTGAAACAATCAAGGGATCCTACTTCTATTATGTTATGCAGTAATGTAAATACATTAGTCAATATCTTACACTGAGAAAACAAATGGCTTTGCCTTTTTGGATTGTATTGTGTGAATGTGAACTACAGTAGCTTGAATAAATTCTGATCTTTCAAATATACAGAGGATGTTTGGATCAGTCAATTGAATTACATGAAAGGTTTGTTTCATACAACTTTATTTCAGAACTATGGCAATTGAATGCAAATTACTTTAAATACATCACTAAGGATATGTAAATATCCTTAAATTAAATTTGCAAGATTTCAGTGGACTTCTTGTTGGTTTTTTAATGATACAGGTTCCTACTTTGGCTTTGCTTCATGTACTTATTTTTTATATTAGATTCCTTTTATTCATGTAAGAAATCAATTTTAGAATGCACTCTCTTCTCTACTACTGCTCTTACACATCCTAAAGCTGGCAAATACTTATACGGTGCCATTTTATAAATTAGTATCAGTAATAGTTTTCAATAAAATTTAAACAAGCTATTTTCTTTTATAAAAATTCCTTCCTATACATGCACAAGGTGCAGCAATGATATAGTTTACTTACACTTGCCTAAATATTACCGTGTTCAGCATTTATCTCAATACTTTCTGAGCTCTTCTTATACTGTACCTTACACTAATCTTTCTCAATATATTTTTTCTTTCTATTCTTCAACAAAATACATTTCTTAGATCACTTGCTATTTATTTTCTATTTCAAACCCTTTCATATTGCAGTTGTTGCCCATTCTTAATTTAACACAATGAGATAAAGTCAGTGTACAAAGTTTCACAAGAAATTAATAAAATCAAAGTGTATCCAATATCTGAATTAAAGTGATATGAGCAACAATAATTTGCAGATTCCAGAAATCAAAAGTACAGTACTGTATTCAGCAATTGTTACACTAAGCTCAGTCAGCAGCAAAGCTCGTCTACTCACACAAAGTTTTTCTTCATAATTTCTTTATTAAATTTTACTGAAATTTACGTACAATTACCAATACGAATATGGTTATCAAGGATAACCCGAGGACCTGATGAACTTTTCAGACCTGGAAACAACTGGGATACTACACAGGGAGGAAGTAATGTAAAACATTTCCTTGTCCAACAAATCATCAATGACAATATGGAGAGGAGGCATAGATGGCTGGGAGGGGGACAGAAGACAAAGACCATCAAAGGTTTCGAGAGACACAGTTGAATACCCAAGCATCATAGATGCAAGCACGATGAAAGGTCACCAAACATACCTTCACTGGAGTTGAACCATGAAAGGGCCAATGGGAGAAACACCACCAGTCACCTAACCTGAGCGAACGCCAAAGGTGCACTGACCTCGAAGGAAAAGGCAAGCCAGAAAAAAAGGTTGCCTACAATGGGCTACAGAATCGAGAGGCAGACTACAGTAGTAACACCTGAGAGAACCTGGAAGGATGCTCCTGCTGCAGCCAGTGTCCAATCCACCAATCCCGAAGGAAACAATAACATGGAGAGCAACCAGACTCTTAGAGGTGATCTAAGACTATGCCAGGAAGCTAGATGTATAACATAGTAATTGGCCACTGCATCATGAATGAACAGAGCAAAACATTTAGGAATTCCATCTAGAGCAGATACCGCATTAGGCAAGAAGGAAAAGGAATCCAAAGTATGGGAGCCCACCTCCATATTTATCCTGGACAAAATTTCCAGAGTTTTGCAAAAATCGAGAACCTCTGCTAAATGGGTCCAAGCATTGTCATCCACTGAGCAGTCATCAGAAATTTGAATCCAGACATGGAGCTGCCACAAATTCATGTCATAGGAAAACAAAAGAGAATGCTCACACAACAGAAATGAACTCATAAATCACAGACGAGGAAAGGCAGACAGTACCATGGAATTTAACCAAAAATTTTTATTCACCATCAAACTGGAATCCCATAAATGTGCAAGACACACTTGTCTATAAATAAGGCATAACCAAGCAATAATATTCAGACTATTTAGTTTGTACATAGTGTATATTCAGACTATTTAGACAAGTACATAGTGCACCTGATTCCCATCAACAAGTCTGGCACAAGGACCAAATCCCAAGCATCACCAAGTCCCAGGCACGAAGCAACTTGAAAGATACCCCAAAAAGAACTCACGAGCATCTCAGAAAATCTGACTTTGGTGAGGAAATGGGAAATGTAAGCAAATACCAAAGAAGGTAACCCAGAAACAAAGTCATGTGAACTAATAAGTAAAGAACATGCAAGAGGGAGAGGATAAATATGATGAAGCATTATGAAAAGGAAAACAAACAGTAAGCACCTCCCTTATACCACCTTTTACCGGACAAAATGTCCCCTAGCAACACTAACCTCATTTACTTCAAGCCAGTGTTGATCCTTGCAGAGTAGTACTGTTTGGTGCGTGGCACACAAATAAGGAGACAGGTAGAACACCTAGGGGTCCAGCCTGAGCTGCCACCTGGTGGTACACTCTGGTACTAGCAAATTATTTGTTGACATTGAGCAAACTACTGCTTCCCAAGGAATGATTCTCTCTCTCACAAATCAATATACTGTACTTTCTTTCATGAACCATAAGCAAGTAAGTAATTATCAAAAGAAGGCACAACCGGGAAGGCTATGTAGCACCATCAAATGTGCGGAATAATCAGTGGGCGCTAATTATCACCAAAGCTGCCAATACGAGAACAGAAATGCATAATGTGAACAATGTCAAAAGTATCCGATTCATCAAGAATTCTATCGAGGAAAAAATAACCACGAGGGACGGTCAGAAAGCAAGACACACGCTCGTCCTGGAAGTCAGGACATTCAACAATGATATGCACGACTGTAAGAGGGACAATGCAATTTGGACAATAAGGAGCATGGCGGCGCTCCATTAAGTGACCGTGAGTTAAGCATGTATGGCCAATACGCAACCTTGCTAGAGCCGTTTCCCACCGCCGGTTACGGTGGTAGGAGGAAGGCCACAAGGACACTACGCTTAAGAGTACGCAGTTTGCTACCGACAACCCTTCCAACGGGCAATGATGGAGGAATGAATAACTGGGTAAAAGTCGGAATAAGGCCTTTATGGGAGATGGGACAAGCGCGGATAGCTTCTCTAGCGGCAGCATCCGCACACTCATTTAAAGAAACACCAATACGGCTGGGAACCCAGCAAAACTCTACGGATTTAAATTTACAGAGATAAGAAACAACCAATGTTGAATCTCGACGAAAACTGGATGGACTGGATTAAAGGACCCCTAGAGCCATGAGGGGCACTACGAGAGTCATGATGAACACAGAGGAGGATTGACAACGAGAAAGCAGGAGACGAAGAGCATAGAGAATAGCATAAAGTTCTGCTGTGAAGGTGCTAGTCTCTGGGGGGTAGGCGACACATATAAGTGTGGTCAGGAAAAACAACAGAGTAGCCTACACAGTCCGCAGACTTAGACCCATAAGTGAAGATGGAAACGGAGCGGAAGTGTGAAGAAAAGTGTTCAAGGAAAAGGCGTTTCAGAACCGTAGGAGGGGTAAAAGCTTTAGTGATGCGGGTCAAGGATGTACAAAATTTGGAAGGGGGACTCTCCACGGGGGCAAGGAAGGAACAATACGAATAGAAATATTAGAAATACGAACCGAAAGAGAATCCTGCAAGCGAGATAACCAGACAGAAAGAGGGAGGTGGTGAAGAGGAACAGGAACTACTGGAGGGGTAAAAGTCAAAGCACGAAAGAGGCGAGAGGAAGGATGTTGCAAGGATCGCGCAAGACAGCGAAGACAGTAGCGATCACGGCGGTCCTGAAGAGAGAGTTATGAACCATATCTGAACAGGAATCTGGTTTACATAATTTTCCAATCAAGCATAGTCTTTATATAATGTATGCTAAACTTAGCAGCTGCGGGCTGCTGCAGCAACAGCCTAGTGGACCAAACTCTCACAAGTCAAGCCTGGCCTTGGGCCGGGCTTGGGGAGTAGAACTCCCAGAACCCCATCAACCAGGTATCATCAGTGGAAGTCTTGTATGAAAAATATTGCATGTAAATAATGCCCATTAATAAACCAATTATCAATGATTAAAAGTTTATCTAAACTAGATCTAAAAAGATCTAGTTTATACTAAATTTTTATATACACGTACTATATACTTCCTCTAACCTACATTTCTGGAAACTCATCTTTCTCAAGGATGCAGTTTGATGTAGAATCTTGTACAGGTATTTCTAATAAAGCATTACTTTCATTTAAGGTTAATATCAGTTCAGATGTGCACTTGAAATGTGGGTAGATAATTAAAATTTAAATTACAGCATATAGTGTACAGGTCTAGGCCCTATTTGGCTTAGACACCAATGCTCAATGTCAGCACTGGAGAAATGTCTGACAAGCCCCTGAAACATTACTAATACAGTGCAGAGTTACAAATCACAAGATTTCAACAGAGCAGAAGTTGTTAAACACAATGGGCATAATCTTACTGAAACAAACATACAAGTCATAAATACTCCACATAAGTAAGACAGAAACAAGAAATAATGGGTCAGCCAGAGGCTTAAAGCCCATGCAGGAATATCCCTGAAAAAAAAAAGGCCCAGATACAGTACTTTCAACACTCGTGTATCGCTTAACGTCATTTGTTATGCTTCCTAAATTTTCTTAATGTTTGTCCTTCCTCTTCACTGGAATTCCTTTTCCCAGTTATGCTTGACAGTAAATCAGATTTATTTTGGTGAAGAATGCTGTGTGTCCAGACTGTAAGTTCAACTTTGTGTGGTGTCCACTTCTCACTGCCATTTTCTTCCTGTAAAAAGTGGTATATAGTAACTAGCAATATCATGAAAGGTGTTGATATTATTTGAGCACATCTTCAAGTAATCCAAGTACCATTTTTGAGGAATGGTTACTCTGTTGAAGACTTTGTGTTCAAAGTCATTTCATATCTAAAGCATGATAGTTAAATATAATCTCTAAATACACAAAATGCTTTACATGCATAGGTTATGTGGCATCAGACATCAACAGATACTCGTACCATGATATTTGAGATTACTGTATCCCATTTGCTGGTAAATTTTTTCTTGAGATAGTTTTGCCTTCAACATGCTATTCACACAGGAAAATTATATTTTCTACAACACGTGGAATGTCACTCAAATATGATACTAAAGTATTTAAGGTACTTCATATTTCTAGAGTAGAATATTATCCTGTACTGATCTCTCAGTCTCCAATTTAAAATATAAGCTACAATGTGTTATTTTTTACTCTACACACAGGCTCCCAAACATACTCTGGAAGCCAGGCAAGAGGCATCTCACAATTTAAATATAGATATCTGAAGGTTACGTTGCACATAAGGTTCATAAGTCATTAAATCAAGCTAAGAAAACAAAGGTGCTAAAAAAATGTGCATAAACACTTTTTCAAACCGAGTGGTAGAGAGATGGAATAATTTAAATTAGAGGGTAATTTATACTAAACCCATTGAAAGCTTCTAAATACCATGGGACAAAGATTATAGGAAAGATGGAACACCATGAGCATTGCTCATCCTGTAACTACACTAGGTAATTATACCAAGCAATCCCAAGAAATGCCTCTATCAATTGATTAACTGGTTGCAATGATGTCCTATTAGAATGAAGCCCATAATTAAAACAATCAAATTAAAATATACAATTTGCTCTTATAAAAGTTACCATCACACTTGTAATAGTTGAGAAAGCTATAAAGAAACTAAAAATTTGGAGTTATGGATGGCCCCTTTAACATTCATTTTGATAAATATACAATTTTGGTGGTCCATGTTTTAAAAGGCTCTCTCCCATGGTACATCCCCATCTGAAATAAATATATCTGTGCTTGGTTCTATATCAAAGAACTGCTAAGCATCTAAGTTCTTTTCTGATAACTACAGAGCAATTATTCTAAACCCACTAATAAACAAAATATTTGCATACAGTGTATAGAACACTAACTGATTATGTAGAGGATGAGCTAAGCATCATTCAACTTACATACACAAAAATAATACTCCACAATGCTAGGCAGTTTCCTGTTAGCAGAAACTGTTTAATAATACAACCCACATGACAGCTCTATATATATTTCTTACCAGGTCTATGTATCAAACAAGCTTTTCTAGTCATCTACTATTTTCTGTTTATCTTGATACACTGTCAAAAACATTAAGATATAGTAGAACTGGTATTTACATAGGTAGAACTAAGGATAGTGGTTTTTGCTATGCTAATGATCTAGTTTCATTAGCACATATCAAAGATGTTGTGGAAACTTATAGAAATACTGTATGTGAAAGATATACAGTAGTACTGAATACAATCTCACATTCAAGTTCAAGTATGTTTATTGAGATAAGCAATAAATACATCTCAAAGGGATAGAGTAGCTTAGGCTATTTCTACCCCCCTAATCTCACATTCAATCATGGTAAATGTGCCATAGTTGCTAATTCACTAGATTCATCATATCTAGATTTTGAACTAAAACTATTAGGCAGATATAATCCTATAAAATACTTGAAAAGGCATTGTGGTCTATTATATCCTTAAACAGCCTACTTGTCAACTTTTCTGATGCTATTTGTGTATCATGGGTGTACATTCTCATACCCATCATGACTTAATGCTTGGCCTAATGTTCACACCTACACTTTAAATAAATAGTTCACAAAAAATAATAATATTTTGGTTTAGGGATCATAGATCCAGCTAACAACATTAGCCTTTTCTGGAGGGACCAAATGATGCTTCCTTGTAGCTAACCACACAGATAACTTCGCACACATGAATCATATTAGCCCTAGGAGTTATTAATAGCCTCCCAGAGACCAAATCCTTGACTCTCTACAAGGATCCAGTACTTTACCTGATATCCAGCCACTTGGACCACTTTTTCAGGTGCCAGCCTTCTGGGATCCTAAATGTTTTCTAGGTGTGTGCCATTCTTTGGACTCTCTCCTGTGGGGGGCCCATTTGTTTGTGTATCATTTCAATATTTATTAATAGCTTCACATGTGTAGGTTTACAAGTCTTCCTTGCTGTGTGGACTTTTGAAACTTTTCATCTTGAGTTGCATATGTTTAGGTGCTCGCTAATATTGCCCCTGCCATGACAGGGTATCTTCCCTGGTGGGGTTGGGTGTTTGTACCATACAGGCTGGCCTGCTGTAATTACCTAAGTGTAATTACTTAAGTGTAGTTACAGGATGAGAGCTACGCTCGTGGTGTCCCGTCTCCCCATCACTCTTTGTCATATAATGCTTTGAAACCACTGACGGTTTTGGCCTCCACCACCTTCTCACTTAACTTGTTCCAACCGTCTACCACTCTGTTTACAAAAGTGAATTTTCGTATATTTCTCCGGCAGCTGTGTGCAAGGCTCTGAGCTTGGGGGCATTCTGGTATTTACTTATTAAGGGGTGCACTTGGATTCAGATGCTTGCACATTTGGCACCCCACCGACGCCCTTCACAGCAGCATTTTTCCTCGGAGCTGCATTCAGTGTGTCTTTTTTTTTTTTGGCAAATGACCCTTGTGTTTGGGTGTCCTACTTGGGTGTATTACTTTAAGGGCAGCAAAGCCCAGCAGGTCTTTGGTGTGATTAATTGTAGCTCAGCCCACAGAGCCTGCACTCGCTACTTGCAAGTTTAGGGGGCTGCACATCAGTTTTGTCAAGTGCCAATGGTCATTTCTGCTGTCTCTGCTATGCCGCAGGTTGAATACTTTACCCTCTGCCCACAGACATGTGGTATTTGATTTCCCTGATTCTCTATCTTAACTAGAGCCTCAGTTTTTTTTTTTTTTTTTTTTTTTTTTAGTAATAAGGCTTAACAGGTGGCAGCTGTTTTGGGTTCATTTGCCTGTTTTTGTTTTTTGCGGTCGGGTGCTCGAATGGTTTTCCCAGTCGGCCCTTACTTGGTTTCTGAAATTTGCTTTGGAGCAGCTGGGGCATTCTGCTATGTTTGCTTTTACCCTATTTCCTCCAGTCTCCTGAATGTCTGAGAGTTTCAGAGGCTTCCTGAATTTCTGGCCTTCTCCAGGAATTGTGCATTCCACACTGGGCAAAACCCACAAAAAGATCTGAGCAAAATACACCCGCCTGTAAAACAAAAGGCAACAGATCATTGGCAGGAAGCAACAGGCCTACTGATGACCATACGCCAGAACCTAGACCCCCAGAGAGACATGAGGAGCACAGGCTTATAGAAACCCCCGTGTAGTTGGAAGCATTCTATGTCTGCCATTGACCAGGTCAGGCACTCAGAAAGGTAAGCACTCCAAAACAAACCCCTATTCTGGTTAAAATATTGCTACTGAAAGCTGAACTAGTGGACAGAATTTCCCAAATGAAAACCCGAGTAAACGAGCATGACGTCACCATGTCACCGTGCCGCTGTCTGTGCAACCCCCCCCCCCTCCGGGAGGGGAAAGCGGGAGCCCCAGACCCCCGTGCTTCCAACCACACAGGGAGGTTTCTATAGGCCACTGCTCCTCGTACCTCTCTGAGGGGGGCCAGGTTCTGGCTCGTGGTCCTTGGTAGGCCTAGAACTCCATGTGCACTGACTAATGCCAGTCTAATACAGTATATTCATATCAGTTCGGTTAGGTCTGGGGAGCCGACGGGGCTCCCCCTCCCCCCCATAAAATGGGAGATATAACTACTTGTCTAATATTGGCTTCTACAGAATAGTTTGGTGTCTGAATAAATCAACATTCCCCTTCCAATTAATATAATCTTTCCAGTAATGTAATACTGTATTTAGATATTTTTTATTTTACTTGCAATGGCAATAACTTTCTTAAGTAGCCACAAACAGGAAACTAGCCTAAGATCAGTAGTAGGGCTCATTACATTATATTCAAAGTTAATTTTTAAACAAACCATCTGGGAGACCAAGTATCTGGGAATATACTTGAAATTCCTATCATCCCCTGATCTGGTAAACACAATGAAACACAAACAACCCCTGATCTGGAAGACATGAGCAACCAATGGAGCAGAAGCCAGCAACAAAAGTAAACAAACACACCATCTGCCCCAACCACCGGGCTCCACAGAGAGCCGCTGGACATGCGCTATCTGATGTAAGGCACCTTGACAGGAGGAAACCCCAAGGGACTGACTACCAAACTTTCTCCAGGAAGAGAATCCTGACCAAAGGCAAAGGTAATGTCAGCAGCAACCAAAGGCAACTATGGCTACATGCTGCAAAGGGATGGCTAACACTTAGCTGACTGGTGGTTCCTGCAGAGCTGGGAGACACCAGGAGGACCACGCTAAAATGTACGAAGAGTGTGAATGACTGGATTAGCTACTTGGGACCCCTTGGATAGCCAGAGATGGTGGCAAAGGTGTGGGGACAACTAGTAGTTGGACTTAGACAATGAGTGCTTACATACTGTATTTCAAATCAGGGTTGCAAATGTTATCTTTGAAATTGCTTGTTTTAGCGTGTTCTACCTTAATGTGGTTGATCTTGTATCCCCACTTCCCAATGCCTCTATTGAGGGGGGAAAGGTGCAGATTTGGGTCCCAGTTTCTGGGAGGCACTTCTGAGTTACTGGAGCTTAGTGCAGTACCTGAGTTTGGATGGCTCCAGAAGGGCAGCATGGGAAGCTACAAAGGATATCCCTCCCATAAAAGCTCCTTGCAACTCAAATACATAACTTTTATAAAGAAAGAAGGAAAGGAAGGAAATAAGAAAAATATATTAAGGCTAAAGTATTACCTTATCTCCTTTCTGAGCATCACAATTTAGCCGTTTTGCACAGTTGGTCATTTCAGAATTCAGCAGTTCGTACTCAGCAGCATTATACTTGAGTGAGGCTAGACTGGGAAGGGTATGTGCTACTTCATCTGCAAAGAAGCAGCACATCTCTGGGACACATGCAGCCAATATTCCTGATGCTGTTGCAGGACCTACACCCTTCAGGATAACTGTTGAAATAATACAGTATAGCATTTTCATATATTGTACTGAATATCTGTTAAATTAATACACACACATTCATTTACACATTCTATATACGCCTGTATAGAAAGCTGAAAAACATATCTAGCAATGGGGGTTTGCTAATAAGAACTCTGCTAGCCACTGTAATCGCAGGATGACTGTGGCAGCAGGGAGATCCCCCAGTAAGGCAAGGTGTTGACCTCAGTGTTGCTGGTAGAAGAATTAGAAGTAGAGTGGATCTTCTGACGATGATAGCTAAATACTTATTATCGCCATTATGCAGGATGACAACATACAGTACTGTATATGTAAATTTATATGGTGATATAATTGCTACACATAATAATGGCCTTAAAAACCAAAACAAGGACTCTTTCTAGAAGATTTACACATGAAATCTATACTCTGACTAAAAATGAAAAAAAAAAAATGCGTTTGTAACAAGGCTAATACCTGAATAAATAGATGTAAACCTTGAGGACAAGTTAAGATAACTTTATTTAACAATTACCAGAGGGATTATGATTACCAAGTACAAAATCCTGCGAGGGAATAGATAAGATGAACAAGGGCAGCTTCTTGGACAGGAGGACTGCAGCTGCCAATCCTCCAGCGCTGTGGTTGATATCTACTCCCTGGCATGGCTTGGCAGCTTGTCTCCTTTTCCTTAACTGCCAGGAGCTCTTCTCATTCAAGCTTTAGGTTGAATGTGCTCAGCTGGAGGGGTTCAGTACATTCCCTGTCTTTATGTCAGTCTGCAGCTCTGCGCAAGACACTCAGGCCAATCCGTCATGATTCAGTTGAGAGCTTCTTCACTATATGCCTCATGAAGGTGTGTGATGTTGGGTCAAGTGTCCAGGTGTCTGCTTGGATGCTTTCACTTGCATTAACATGACCCAATAGGAATCTTTGAAAAATCTCTGTTGTGCCAGTACAGCATGTGGACTTGCCTTGACTGTGCATAGTCCTGGCCTCTAGAACTGGGCTTTACTTCAGAAAGAAGCTGTGTACCTTGCTCTTAAAGGAACTTTTTAAGTTTAACTCTAAGCCTTATTTTTTGGGGTATCTGAAAGTTTTCTCCTGCAGAAATACAAGAGTGATATTTCACAGAATAACATATGGCAAAGCTTAGAATTAAATGATTGTATTCAAGAGCAAAGAGAACAAATAGAGGGTAAATTTGCAATGGCTCAAAATTAATTTCTAAATTGTTGACAATAATGAAATAAAATGTGAACTTATGTATTCACACTCATACCTAAGGATTCAATTGCATCTGTTACTTTGTTTTTTGTAGCATATTGAATCCCTTTTTGAGATGCACTTTTAACACTTTCTTCACTGTTGGATCCAGCCAATTCCAGTAAGCGTGGACGAAACTTCCCTCTAGAGAGCTTCCAGTCCATGAGACGCACCAGTTCATCAAGTGTTATATGTGGAGGCTTTCGTGATAGTGCCTTCTGACCTAGTTCTTCCTGGACCCATCTTAAAATATAAGCAAAGAACTCAATAAATAATTAGAAAATATGAACAGAGAATTATATGCCAATACAAGGCATATCAAAATTAAATACGGAAGCATACAAAATATACAGAAAATACGTCCCGGTGCAGAAGATCCGAAAACATTTTCACATATGGAAACAAAAATCTGCCAGTATTGGTCCCTTTACTTACAACAGGAGATTCATATACTGAAGATGTCAAACAAATATCCATATATGCTGGTTTTTTAGGACAAGTGTAACTAATTTAATTATAATAAATTAGTTACAATTGTGCTAAAGAAACAGCACATATGAATATTTAGCAATCCAATAGGTAGCATGAAGGTTGAAGATCCTTTCAGCCCTTCATTACAAATACTGTACTTGCCCTTCAGACAACATATTGAATACTAATAATGGCCCAGCAGACTTCAAAAAGAAATCAGCAGCATGTCCATGCACTTTGACATGGATCCCTATTCCTTGAACTCTAAAAGAGGAAAAAATTAAACTTCTGGTGAGATACCAGAAGCACTTGCAATTGCTATTGCAGAAATGATCCTACCTGCACAAGCCTGTAGCAAAGTGGTAGCAAAAAATTAAAGACCAGTCGCACTTATGTCACACATTGTTAGCCTTTGAGAGTAATTATGCATTCCGTCCTCTCGAATAGTACAGCTCATTCTGACGAATTACTTCCCTAAGGCCAAAAAATTATGTACTAAAACCATATCGGCTCACAAAATTGATGTAATGTTCTGTTTTCTATTTTTCTGTTAGTGAGGAGAGAAAATAAAATCCAAAATAACATCGTGCAGCCAAGTACAGTACTGGACTCCAAAATGAGGACAACAGTACCAAAGTAATTAATGGCAAAACAAAAATGTCAAGACCAACCTCCTGGAAAATGGGCTCCGACAGTGCTGCCCAAAAATCAGACAAATACTGTACCATTAGGCCCAAAAATTTGCACTGTAAAAAGCCACATCAAGAAAGATAAGAGAAATAGAACCAATGTGGACAAAGGGCACAAGAGAACCAAACACAACAAGTTACTTCATACTATTGAGTTTGCCTAAAAACAGCAGAATCAGCCCCACTGAAAGTCAGAGTGTAATAAGTACACCAAGGTTATACAGTATTCTGAAAACAAAGTGCCCAAGACTTTTCAACTTCTCCCCCTCTAAATACAATATGAGGTAAATTACAAACAGTCCTCTAACAGTATTAGGAGAAGCTTGATAAACACCTTCAAAGGCTACCTGATCAATTGAACACATCCACAAGGGCCATTACGAGGGTTTGAACTTACGTCCGAGAGGATCCCAGATGCTGCCTTAATCAACTGAGCTACGACATGGTAAAAGAATTGCAACCGGAAGTTCTACTGACCTTAATCAGATCCTGCAGCCTCTCTGAGACACAAAGAAGGGTTTTACACAATTCCCCTATGCACCCGAGCTCTATCAAGTACAGTAATGGACTCCAAAATGAGGAGAATGGTACCAAGGTAATTAATGGCAAAACAAAAATGTCAGAGATAACTCATTGTATGCCAAGAAAGAAGGTGCTGAACAAAAATGAACAGGTTCGAACCCTCTTCACAGCCCTTATGGATTTGTTCATTTGATGCATCACGCTATTGTGATTTCTGTGTGCTACCTGATCAACCTGGCTGAAGTGCCAGGGAGCCTCATTAGAGACAAAGCTGTGGGATGTACTGACCCTGGAACCATCGCATGGTACTGTATCCTTTTGGGGTATTACAATAAATTAATAATAATTTATTTATATATTTATTTTATATATACTGTACAAGAGTTTTTACATTCTTGTACAGCCACTAGCTCGCATAGCATTTTGGGCAAGTCCTTAATCCTAATTTTCACACACACACACTTCCCCACAAAGTGGCCCATAGCAGTTGTCTAACTCCCAGGTACCTATTTACTGCTAAGTGAACAGGGCAATCAGGGTGAAAGAAACTCTTCCCATTTCTTTCCGCCTCCACCTTAGGACTACAAACTCCGAGTGCTGTCCACTAAGCCGTCAGGCCCCCCCTAAATAATTTATTAATAACAAATTAATAATTTTTTTGTTTGGGACAGAAAACCTGTGTATATGCAGTATATACTTTAGGCTTGTATCGAGGTCCCCCAATTTCAAACTACTGACCCTCCCCAGGATGCAATCCCATAGTAGTTGCCAAACTCCTGGGTACTTATTTATTGTTAGGTGAACAGAGGCACTAGGTGAGAGTAAAAATGCCCAACCATTTCTGTCAAGCCCGGGAATCGAATCTGGGATCCGTAGCTGCGAGTTGAGAACAAAACTAACTGTACTGTATGACAAGACAAATTTAATACACAATCACACACTATTGCAGTACTCAACCAAACCACACAGAGCATTTTCCTTAAAATCTATAAATGTGTAAAAAATAACAGAACTGGATAGCTTTTATAATCCACCTCTTTCATGGGATACAATACTGTACTTACTTATCCAGCTGCTCAAGGCTTTCTCCTTGTTTCTTTTTCTTTTGTGATGCTTTGATCTTGAGGGCATCAGGATACAACTTCAGCACTGCTACAAATTCATCTGAGTTCCCTTCAGTAATGAACTGCATTCTTGTATGAAATGTAAATGGATTTTACCCTTTTCTGAAAAGTAAAGAACTGTGTAACAAAAAATAATGCCGAAGCTTCAACTTAAAGATTATAATCTTTTATTTGAAAATACGTAATTACATAAGCCTAATAAAATATTTCATATTACTGTATAATTTTGCTGGAGGTCAATAAAACTCCAACATGATTGACATTAGTGACACTATAATCTACTAGTCTGAAAATAACTACTTTTATCGTGTTTAGCAGTATTTCGGCATCTTTAAAATCACGATGTATTGTAAAATCAAATCAGCAGAGACTGAAAAAAATCTTGCTTTCCAATTATTAAAATCATATACTGTATATATATCAAAGGCTAAGTTGGGTTAAATTATCATATAATCTTAGAATAGGTTTGATTAGATAAGGTTGGTTTAGGCAAGATTCTGAAATCTGTTGGCAAACAATCCTATGGAAGTTGTTTTTGCTGGAAAGCTCGTTTTGTTGTGAAAGTTGAATATACCCTTAGACGAGGCTGGGTTAGCTTAAGTAGGAAATTATGTTTGATTAGTGAGTAGTTATCAAAGGAAGGCGCCAAGCCAGGAAGACTAGGTAGCGTTCAGCCCAACGCTACCTAGCCCAACCACTTGAGGTGGATGGTAGAGCGACGCTCTCGAGTCATGCAGGTCGGCGTTCAATCCCCGACCGTCCAAGTGATTGGGCACCATTCCTTTCCCCCGTCCAATCTCAAATCCTTATCCTGATCCCCTTCCAAGTGCTATATAGTCGTAATGGCTTGGCGCTTTTCCGATAATAACTCAGTTAGATTAAGCTAAGTTGGTTTGGTTAAGCTTTTGGCAAGTTTTAAAATCCTTTGGCGAACCATCTTGGGTACAGAGTAACCCGTATCTTTGTCATGTACAAGAATACAGATCTTCCTTCATATTAATTCTCAAAGACTGTCAAGCTGGAAAACTAAAGCCCACTAAAGCGTTAGTCGCCCTCGGGTAAATTCAGGTAAAACGAGACAACTCGTCCCACTACCCAACTGTTCATAGGATGGTGTTGCCTGTGCAATAGTATCTTTAATTCCTAATGCTGTATTTATTTTGCATATTAAATTCCATTAGGTTAACTATGAGGAAGTAGCGAATGCATATTAAGAGCAGAGGACTGAAGTTAGTTTACCTTTAGCCGCTGTAGTTTACCTTTAGCAATTGTAGTTTACCTTTAGCAACTGTAGTTTACCTTTAGCAAATGTAGTTTACCTTTGGCAACTGTAGTTTGCCTTTAGCAACTATAGTTTACCTTTAGCAAAGGTAGTTTACCTTTAGCAACTGTAGTCTACCTTTAGCAACTGTAGTCTACCTTTAGCAAATGTAGTTTACCTTTAGCAACTGTAGTCTACCTTTAGCAACTGTAGTTTGCCTTTAGCAACTGTAGTTTACCTTTAGCAAAGGTAGTTTACCTTTAGCAACTGTAGTCTACCTTTAGCAACTGTAGTTTACCTTTAGCAAGTGACGTTTGTACAGGTTAATTGTAAAGGTTAGTGCCAGAGTGGATCAAGGACTGGACCACAATGGTCTATGAACTAAGCAACTTGGTTAGTTTGACACTTACATTATAGTAATGTGTGTGAGGGCCGCGTGAGGCAGTAGAGCACTGGTCACGGGGAACTGGGCCGCGTCTTCAAGGGGTTCCCGCGCACTCTTTGAACCATATTGGAATGTGACCCAAGTATCGAAATTGAAATTGAAATAAGTTTATTTGAGGTAAAATACACACAAAGGGATGAGGTAGCTCAAACTATTCTCACCTCGTTCAGTACATCGTGTTAATACATACATAGACACACATCACAAACAATAAACATATTACCGAACATTCTGAGAGATAAACATATACATTTCCTGACCCAAGTATCAGTTGGGTCAACCCATGTATAGTATTCCTAAAAGGTGCAGCCTTGTTGGACTAGACGAACGCCACAAGAAAATGGTTGAACTGTCTATGGTAAAGTATTTCAAATGAAGCTTATATGTCTATCGTTCGTGAGGTGTATAAAACATTTACCATTATATATTTACATATTCACATATTTACCTGAAATAATCACTATTTTGAGAGGTGTTCCGTTGATCGATCTGTGCCGGGCGGCGCTCGCAATTATAAAAATGCAACTCGTAAATTGTAAAAACTTGTATATATAAATAAAAAAATAACTCATTTTGTAAGGAAATGTATATGTTTATCTCTCAGAATGTTTGGTAATATGTTTATTGTTTGTGATGTGTGTATATGTATGTATTAACACAAGGTACTGAACGGGGTGAGAATAGCTTGAGCTACCTCATACCTTTGTGTATTTTACTTCAATAAACTTATTTCAATTTCAATTTCAACTCATTTTGTAGGTAATGTATGTAATGTATGCCTTGTATATAATGTATTTTGTATGTTCTCTTTTGGTGTGTATACATAAGCTTGCTAATAAAAACAAAAATCTTCCCTAAATAACCATTATCATTATTAAAAAGTGAAATATCCTGTTAATGACCGTATATGAGACTACTAGTCATTGAACAAATCCACAATGGCCATGACGAGGGTTCGAACCTACGTCAGAGAGGATCCCAGACGGTGCCTTAATCATTGTAGATTTGTTCGATTGATGCATCACTCTATTGTGATTTCTGTGTGTAACTAGTCATTATTCACAAAACTGTGGGTGACGGCACTTCAGTCTCAGTGGGTTAAAACTCCTTCATTATTTGGCCTCATTATAACTTTTAATAATTTATTTTGTCAGGGACAAGAAGCCTGCCCACCCCTCTACCCCTTTCCTTCCTCCCAGTTCTCACAACCACTTGGGGTGGTCTACCAGGTGGACGGTTGAGGGACGGTCTCGCTTCATGCAGGTCGGCGTTCAATCCCCGACCGTCCAAGTAATTATGAAAAGAAGGCACCAAGCCGGGGAGGCTATGTAGCACCTTAAATGTTGCTGGATATTAAAAAGGCCCTAAATATCACCGCCAATACGATTAATAGCACATAAGGCGGATGATATCAGATTCACTAATTAGGATTTTGTTGAGGGACAAATAACCTTGAGTAACATTAGGAAAGCAAGAGCCTCGGCCACGATGGTCAAAAGTCAACCCGCAACTCTTCTGAATTGGCGATTCCCAGACACCTGCCTTAATCGATTTTTGACCATCGTGGCATAGTCGGTTAAGGCAAGTGTCTGGGAATCGCCAGAACGAGGGTTCATCACTCCATTGCCCCAAATGATTTTCACTTATATATCAAGCCATTGTGATTTCATTGCAATCTGCCTCTAACCTTTTTCACTACCGCCCACAGGATGGGTATGGGGTGTATAATAATTAAACCAAACTGATGTGGAGTGTAAAAAGAGTGAACGAAATTAATATTTTTTTAAGCAAATAGTTATTTTGTGTGTTTGAATACCTTACTGTATATCTATCAGTCATTATATAGACTCTATCTATAATCAACACCAAGAAAGAATTTAAGTAAAAAGAGACTCACATTAATAGCACTCACAACTTAGTGTGGCTAGTGGTGCCAGCACAATTGTCAATGTACAGATGTGTTGCTTGATATTGGCAATATTCCCTTTAGAAAGGATAACAAATATAGCTTTTACCATCAAGTTTAATCATACAAAATACAGATTAACTCTAGCAGCAATAGCACCAGTTTTCAGATTGTACAATAACCACTTTGGTAATGGTGCAATTATAATGTGGATGGATTGCAATCTTTGTCATGAATCAAATAATATAATCTGAAAATTTTACTTGGCATTATAAATTACTTAATGTTTTGATAGTAGGACCCTGTAACAATCGAAAGTAAACAAGCTGTACCCAGCATCCAAATTTCCCTACAGTGAGTTCCCTGAGATTGAGCATCTGGGATCATCTTTATTCAATGACACTTAAGATTACTAATCTGGTTACCACCATATTACTAATTACCACTGAGATTACAAATCAAATAGGAACGTAAACTGAGAATGAGCACAACTAGTACAAAGAAGCTTTAAAGACAAATGAACTACCAGAAATAATCTTTCTTGCCCTGTGCCCTCTTTGACATTGTAGTTTACAGTACATCATTTTTTTTACTCAGTCCAATAGTGACAAGACTATGTAACTATAAAACTATTTATTTGTTATTCTTTTTTATTGCTATTGCTTTTATTAGCCTTTGTTATGGTTAGGTAACTTTGACCTCTACAACTTCCAAAGTCCATCCTTATTTCTCCTTTAAGCACCGTGGAATATAATACTGTACTGCATTCATCCAATCACCTCATGTTATTTTGCTAATTTAATAAAATATTTTTTACCTACATCTGCTGTTAATATTTTTGCCATACCCAAATCGATAATATCTGAAAAATAGTTCAGTCATTCAGCCTTTAACATACTCATTCACAATTTGCCTTCCTTTAACCAATCTATTTTCTCCTTAAAATCTCTGGTTTCACCACCTTCCCCTTATCCCAAAGACCTTGGTTAGGCCCCCTTTTCCACAAATATTTTTTAACTGTTGCACCCTTCAGTCATGCATGGAGTCAAATTAACTGACCCATGGCTGCAGCATTGTCAACCGACTTGGTCATAGAGCAATATCTGCCAATTTATGCATGATGCAACAATAGCCACCTCAAGCACTGTGCAGTATCAGCTAACACCTACTTTATCAAAATGCTACTCATTGGTTCTGTGCAGCTTGAAATCCAAAACCTGAAGAAGAATAATGCTGTATGATACTACTAAACATATTACATCATCATCTCGTCTCCTGGAAGAAGAGTACAGTAGAGTACATTCAGTGTTATCCCCTCCATTAACATCACATCTTCTCTTTCAGGTAATGCGGTGTATTCAGTATTTTCCCTCCTTTAAACCATATCTTTTGCAAGTAATGCACAGTATAGACTATCTTTAATCTATTACTCCCTAGAGTAATTTAATTATTGTCCAATCACAAGTGACTGATGTAAACTATGCTCCATTAAAAAGATATTTTATAAACCTCTGGAAGAATTTATATTTACTCTAGATGTTACATAAAATACATTAATTATTGTTTCAGGGTCATACTAACGTATAAAATGCTTGTAAATAAAACAATGATTTTCAAGAATATATCAGAATTTACAAAATAGGTATTATGCGGGCCATACTTAAATAATATAACCAGCTGCTCTTTTGTGTTTTCTGTACTAAACAGCAGACTATGAAGAATTCATTGTTTAATCTTACTACATATTGCAGACTTAATATTCTAGTTAGAGAGAACACAATATTTTCTTGTACATCACTGAGAAATACAAACACTGGTCCAGTAGTAAAGAAGGTACCTTCAAGGAATAGTAAAAGCACAAAAACCCACAATCTTTCTCAGTTCCAGTGAAAAAGTGTTTGCTGTCCAGAAATAAAAGGAGCATCAGTAAAATCAATGGCCATTAGTTTATAAATTTAATTCCTATGCATAAAGGCTTAATGTTAAAGGAATAATTAAAACCACATTTTCAAAGGTCAAAAAATTTAAGAAATTTGAAAAAATAAACATTCCCATGCTATATTATTAGGCATTGTGGAATAATTGTTTTAAGACAAATTTATGTATAAAGCTTTGGGAAATATTCCTTTTCTGTGAATGGATAAAACAAACTCTTATCCCATAAAATGTGACAATACAATATCATGACTAATAACAGGTTGCATGTATATTTTATATATATATATATATAAATATATACTGTATATATATATATATATATATATATAGCCATAACTATTTTCAGCCTACAATGCAAGGCCCGATTTGCCTAATAAGCCAAGTTTTCATGAATTAATATATTTTCTCTAATTTTTTTCTTATGAAACGATAAAACAACCCATTTCATTATGTAAGAGGTCAATTTTTTTTTATTGGAGTTAAAATTAACGTAGATATATGACCGAACCTAACCAACCCTACCTAACCTAACCTAACCTATCTTTATAGGTTAGGTTTGGTTAGTAGCCCAAAAACTAGGTTAGGTTGAGGTAGGTTAGGTAGTCGAAAAACAATTAATTCATGAAACTTGGCTTATTAGTCAAATCGGGCCTTGAATAGTAGGCCAAAAAGTGAGTTCTGGCTACTAGGTACGACATATATATATATAATAGTATAAAATATATATATATATATATATATATATATATATATATATATATATTAATCTTATATACACAACTTTAGAACACATATATATAAAATATATATATATATATATATATATATATATATATATATATATATATATATATATATATATATATATATACACATATATACACACACCTCTATATAAACACACACAACGCATGCATACATACAGTAAATACATACACGCTATGTATTTATATATATGCTATAATATATAAAAATGCAACAATGTCCAAAGTCACATTATTTATTGGTTTAAATATAACATATTCTGGCAGCAAGATCCTCATCCTTCCCCCTTTGAAGGACAAGTAAATTATGTAAAAATCTGAACACCGTAAAATTCAATAGGCCTGAAGATAAACTATATCCAAAGCTTTTAAATGCATATAAGCAATGCACGCATTTTAAATTACAATTGAAATAAATGACGCTGAAAAACCATTCACCTCGCCACACACACAAAATTTGAGGAGAGTTCAGTTTTACTACCCAACGCCAATTTACTTACAATGCCCTTTTTGTGGTGGCCACCTAGTGTATGCATAAGATAAGAACATGAGAATGAAGGAAACTGTAAAAGGCCTCTTGGCCCATATGAGACAGCTCAAATTCATATCCACCCAAACTCGTGTATATTTAATGTATTTCTAACCTACACTTAAAACAATCCATCGAACCACATCTATTATGTCACCCAGCAATTTCTTTTACAGTTGAGACTCCTGTTTTCAAACCATTATTTACCTAGGTCTTTCTTGACACTAAACTAATCCAATTTATTTTCATTATTTCAGGTTCCATTTTGTGTTGATATATAGTATTTACAATATTATTTATGTCTGCTTTGTATGTCCTTTTTAATCTTTCTTTATAAAGGAAGGTTTCTAATTCCTGGGATTATTTTTGTCATCCTTCTTTGTATGCATTCAAGTGAATTTATATATATTTTATAGTACAGACACCAAAACTGAACTATATAATCTAAATGTGGTCTAACAAGGGCAAAATAAATCTGAAAAATAATATATGATGTTTCTAATGCTTCTAGAAATAAATCCCAGGATGCTTATAAAACACTCCCATCTTCACACTTGGTGCACCTTAATTTGGATACTATCAACAGCAGCACCCAAATTTAGGTGCCTTCGTGGCAACTTAATTCAAACACTTTAGAACTAATGAGCATTGCCTCAACAGGTGAGATAGGTTTGTCAAAGTCCTTAAGTTTATAATTAGGCAAAAGTCACTTTAAATCAGATGCTTATAAAATCACAAGAATGAACTGTATGAAAAGCAAAACTTAAACTTATTGATATATTCTAAAAAACCTGCAAATATATCAGTTAACATGATAAAGTTACATTAATAGTTATACTATATGTATGTTTATGTATATATATAAATATATATGCAAGATATACTTATCATAAATAAAACCACTGTATTATCAAATAAACTAACGAGTTTTATCATTCCTGACTTGTTTGATCACAATCAAAATAGATAAAATGGTCAACACAAACTGTGTCACCTTAAATTCTATATAATATATAGCATTAGCAATGCATTTAGATACTGAATCTTACTTCATATATACTGTAAATATAAGGATTTAATGTCAATAAATATATTACAAGAGCATAAAACATCCATTGGTCATTTCTCACGTTATGAAACCTGACTCAAATAAATAATTCTGCCTTTCACAATAACTTTAATCTGATAAAGTTATCCACATAACACTGGTGTTCGTTTTGGGCAAAAGTCTGAATATCAATGGTGTGACCGAAAGGCAAAATACAACAATTTATATACTATTAAGATATCCTTGAACTCTCCCCAATAAATACACCAGTGCAACTAACAAATCCTTTCATCACTTTCCTTAGACTAGAGTAGACCCAACTGCCTAACAAACAGAGAGACTGACACTTAAACACAATCACTAATTAGAATGCAACTGTTGAGTTCATTTTTAGCATCGAAACTAATACAGTTTCTAAAATGTCATACGAAAAAATACTATAAAGTACCTGGCTGTAGCAAACTAAAATTATTTTTATCTTCTATTGATGTAATTTCCTACAGCAGAAAATATATACAGTAATCATGTGATAATCTTACAAACAATTACAGAAAAATTAAAATAAAATACCAGCTGTAAATGTTCACGTTATCAAGGTTTCTAAGGTAGAAATTTATCACTTTACACAAACCACATGTCAACTGTTGCTGTTCAATTAGTGTTCCTACACTGAAAAAGCTGCTATCTAGGCATTCATAAATCTACATCAGTGTCTGTATATAGACACATTTACAGTGATTCAATAGTTGTCATGTTGCGTGCTGCTGTAAGTCACAATCTCTCTATATTTTAGGCAATTTATTTTTGCGAGTAATGGGTACAAGGAGTAATAAACAAAATACAAACAAAAGCTAACACTCTTTGAACACAATATGCTTACAAACTTATAACATCTCAATACAGTAGTGCAATTAGCTACATAAAGAAAAAAGTCAGGCATTGTATGTATGAATGACCATATACATATAAACAAAAAACCTGATCTATACAGTGTTTGTGATGCATACATGGCATGTTTAGCTGCTACAGACATTGACAATTAAAAACCATACCCAAATTGTAATTGCCACCTAACAAGTAGTAGAAATGATCAATAAAGATACTAAAAAACTTCAACAAAGTCAACCATCAAATTTAAATGAAATTAAAGGTCTTTCTTCTTCTTACACTATTAAAGCTACAATCATCTGAAGAGGAAATGGTAAGAATACATCTTGGTTACAAAATGAATCAGGCACTATATTGTATCACCATTCTAATGATTAACAACAACTGTAGCCGACTTGGCTCATTAATACAAAATGTATTTCAGTAAGATTAGTTTATGTTAGGCTTCTTAACTAATTACTTGTTGACAATGAACTTACCTTTTTTACTTTTACTCAAAGTTAAAAGCAATATAACAAATATTGTACTATTGCCCACACCCACAAATTCCACATAAAAACTCCTGTCCTGGTTTCTTTACTGTAATATGCTGACATTTACGTGGCATGACAGCCTTCCAATGCTGCTGCACGTCCATAAATACTAGACAACACTATATTGTACCTCAACTCCCTGAAAGAAAGTTATCAAGTGTTGCAACACAAGTACAGTCACTATACTATGCTAAGTTCAATTATGTCAAAGGTGGATGCCACTGTAACAACTACATATTATGTAGATGGTGGATGGCAGTGCAACAAGTACATATTATGCATATGGTAGATGCAATGGTAACAAGTACATATTATGCAGATGGTGGATACCACTGAAACAACTACATATTATCTAATGGTGGATGCCAGTGCAATAACTACACATTACATGGATGGTGGATGCAACAACTACACATTTAAGAGAGAGTTCAGGAAAGTTGCTATTGTTAAGAATCACTTCTGTCATTATAATTAGCTATATTGTGCCATAACCTCACAATGTTGCTAAAAATATTCACAAGAAACAGACTTGCATTAACATTCTGATGTGCTGTGCATCATAACAAGTTAGAGCAGTACTGTAAATGACAACCCATTCAAGTGGAAGATTAAAACAATAATAATCCAAGTACTGTAGTTATCAAAAAGTGCCAAGCCAACAAATAATAAAGGTTCCCTATACATTCTAATCAATATGAAAAAGGCCATTGTGTTAGTGGTAGTAGTAGTGTTAAGTTGATGGTAAGAGGATGAGGTGGTGTTATGGAAGAGAAACACAAGACGAGAGAGAGGATAATAGAGAGAAATAGGGCTGAGTGTACAGCATAAAACTGCCAAAATTAATGTAATGCATCTATCTCTACACTATACTTGACACAATATTGGAGTTTATTATCATAACTTTAAAATTTTTCCAAGTAAAAATGAAAGATGAAAAGTCTGGAACTTTAAACAATAATTTCTGTGGTCACAGTGCAGTGGATGCGAGCGTCAGTGTCAGTCTGGTTAAGTACTGTTGTGTTTGGCTAGTAACTGGATGGGTAATTATGGACATCCTTGTTCTTGGCTAATAGAACCTCAAGTCAAAATATGTAAATTTTATTAATAAACTGTCCCTAACACTGTAATGTATGTGCAGATATATTGTAGAGCACATTTTGCACTTTCACCAACTTTTTTAAATGATGCTGTGCACATTTGTATGTAAACACACAAACAAAAGTGTTTCTAAGCAAGCAAGAAAATCACAAAACATGCAATTCAGTTTTGCAGAAATATTGTTTATCTTTCCTTGTAGGTCACCGTTGCACTGGGTAATGTAAATAAACAAAACCAAAGTTTTTGGAAGCCTATATATATCTAAAAATTACACTTACAATTTTAGTAGAGTACTATGGTGATAGGTACCTTTAACTGTGGATTACTGGAAGGTACCAGATTCAAAGAGCATTTCATACACAGTGGAACCTCGGTTGACGAATGCCCCCCTTTATGAATTTTTTGGTTTACGTGCTCAATGTCTTCACAAAATTTGACTCGGTATTCGAGGTTTGCCTCGGTTCTCGAGTTTGTTGATGTATGTATGGGTTGATGAGCACATGGTTCTGCTGAGTGCGGGCGAGGCGCGCCTCAGTTTACCAGTGTCTCCTGCCTAGTGACGGCCGCGCTTAAAATGTAAGGCTTTGTCTTCTACTTCTACAAATGTCTTCTACAAATTGTGAAGAATTTAATTGTTTTTGTGCTTTTTTGGTTTCTGAACATGAAAGTTATCATATATCACGCCATAAGTTTCTGAAAGCATTTCAGAGGCCATCATTTGTGAAAAAGCAAGGCTATCACATGAAGATCTTATAAAGCAAACCCCTGGAACGAGTGATGCAGAAATGAAAGCATTTAAGGGAGCAGGGAATGGTTTGAGAAATTTAGAAAAAGAATTGATGTTCATAGTATTGTGAGGCATGGGAAAAAACAAGTGTCTATAGACAGATTCTTAGTAAGATAAGCAAGCAGTGAGCCACAACCAGGTTCTAGTGGCATGCCTGCAAAATGTAGGAGAGTACGTACCCCAGAAATGTCATCACTGCCTGATGTTATAATGGAAGGGGAATTCCCTTCCAAACACTAATACCTCTCCTCCTTCCTCCCTCTTCACTGTCTTCCATACGCCAACAAGAATCCTCAATAAAGGTATGATATACTGTAGTGCAAAATACGAGTAGTATTCTGTATAACATGTATTTTTAAGTTAATACTTTTGGGTGTGTGGAGTGGATTAATTCAATTTACATTAATTCTTAAGGGAAAATTCGTTTCACATTTTGAATTTTTGGTTGATGAATAGTCTCTGAGAACGGATTAAATTTGTAAACGAAGGTACCACTGTATATGCTTCTCATTTACGAATACAAGTACTGTATGGGACAAAATTAAAAATGAAGCAGGCTGACCTTTTTTTTTTGTCCTGTGCAAAAGTATATCTGGACCATAATTTACAAAAACAAAGAATTATAAAAATGGGTGTTTAAAGAAAATCAATAGAAAGCACCAAGCCTGGAAGACTAACACCATCTGTGGCGCACAACAGTCAAAACGTTCTAGATATCACACAAGATGCCAATGCTATATCAAAAGGACATTAGACATTCAATGCCAAAAGTATCAGTCACCAAGGCTGGTAGCAATGGACTACTGACTCAGAAGGACAGTGGGAATGCAAGATTTCTCATCATCTTGAAAATTTAGCTATTCTATGAGGTGCACAAGTGTAAGTGGGACAATACAGGTCAGACAATAAGGTTCATGTCATTTTCCCCCCCCAACAAGTTAATTATGTGTAGCCAATACATAGCCTAGCCAGAGCCACTTCCCCAACCTATCACAATGGTGAAAAGGTTATGAGAATAGGTCACATTTTATACTACAGTTTGTTATTTGCAACACACTACCATTTTACACCTCCAACAGTTGTGAACGTTAGTGTAAATGAAATGGTAGAAATCTAAAGAAAATAAACTGGCTTCAGGAGATGGAAGTGACATGACCAGCCTACTCAGCAGTGACATCTGCAAGTCCATTATAAATAACGCTAATATGGCTATGAACCCAACAAAATTGAACCATATTATACTTGTTGAAAATGAGGAGAGGTCAGTACAATACTGAATTTCATTCAATTACCATGAGATGGTAAGGGTTACAAGATTCCAAGACCATAAAAAAGTAACTGAGAGGCTTACACGGCTGCATAAAGCTGTCATGAAAATGTTTATTTCTGAGGGAAGGCAATGCATACAGATTTGATCAGGACAAATCATGAAGCCAATGCTATCAGAAGGCTATAAATAGAGCAGTAGAGTACGAGTGGCAGTGAAAACATTAAATGAAAAGACCTTTCATCACTATATGGGTCAGGGCCCTCCAAAGTGGCAAATCAGGACCAACACGGGGCACATTACTGAGAATCCCGTAAACAAATTATCATGGTAGCAAAAGAACAAATGAGAACGGGGAGTCACAACAGTGGTGTTATAAGAAAAGCATCCATGACCGAGACCTAAATGTCTGTGGATTTTTTTTTTTTTTTTTTTTTTTTTTTTGAGGTTTGCTCATTGCATGTTATAAGAGAACCCTAAATACTGTACAGGGCATTACAGTGTTAGCCGATTTAAAAGTTTAAAGACTAATTCAGCAATTGAATCAGGACAGAGATCTCGCAGTCCTTTAAAACACACTTGGGTAAAGTGGTCCAGTATTTATGTTACTACAGCAGCAAAATTTCATTATTCCTTTAACCAGAAACCTCCAAGACTTTTAAACAGTTATGGTCAATCAGGAATTAATAAATATCATTATCTAATCTTTTCAAGATGGCTTGTATAGTGTTGTTATTCTGCTTAATTTCAAGTAATAACTTCATCTAGATAGTTCTAAAAATTGTCATACCTTCAAGAGATGAGTATGTTTGGGTAAGGTAAATGCATTAGGAGTTTTATATTATTTTCTGCACGTATGACTTCTGCAGTGCGTGCATTGTTAACATGGCCAGTAATATAAGAAAAAATAAAAACAAGTAGTGAATAGGGAGTGTGAGCACATGTGTGAACTTTCATTTTGTGTGTGCTATACATTGTGTTAGTATATAGGCAAGTGTTTAAAGGTTCACAATATATTCTCTATATTCTCTGATATTCTTGCACTCCCATTCCTTTTCAGAGTTTAAGGTTAATGTCAGTTTTACAAAACTGAAGCAACCTCCCAAGGAAAGTTCATATATATATTCAACAATATATCTTGGTGCAAGTCACAGCTTAAATATAGTAAAAAGTAGAAATATACACTATTTACTAAAATTAATTGAAACTTCTTTATAACAAGTTTTTAAACTAGGATTTTTAGTTGCTAGTACAACTTTTATACTCTAAACTATAGCTTCTGACTATAAATGAATTCTACATTACTGGTGACATAACAAAGCCTCTCCAGTTCATAGTTTCTCTGTCATAAACTTAATGATTGTGTTTTTTACATTTATTGTATATATATATCTGATGCTCCTATTTTTAATGCATAGGTATTGGGTGAAACAAGATAATTTAACGCAGCTTCACACACACAACATTACTTACATTTATTTCCCCAATGCTATCAAACACACTGCCCTCCCTCCCTATCCCCAGGCCTGGCAGTCTTTCCTCACCCCATATCACCATCCTGTTCCTCCCCATCTAACACTTCAGCTTTGTCCTTAGCCCGTTCTACAACCACTGACTGGTCCTGAAGAGTTAGACCATCCAACTTCAATAAAACATCATCACACTCGTCTACTGGACCTGTAAAACGTAAGAAGGCAAACCCACTGCGCCCACGCCATGTGATGTCAACAGGCTGGACCTCGCGACTTTGGAGGGCATCCTTTAGCTCTCGTACTCTGCAATTATGAAACATTCGAAATGTTAGGGAACTCCAACTACATACACTGGGATTATTTCAATTAAATACTGCATTAATTTATTTTTGCTGATAAAAAAAGAAGGTAAAAATATAAATTAAAGTAACAAGCAAAAGAAAATAATAAATACAAATTTTAACCCTCAAATTATGGCTGTACTCTATTCTTAACAGACCCCATAAGAACATTTTGAAGTACCATTTGGGTCCTACTTGGACACAAATGTTGAAAATTTCAATGTTCCATTGAAGACGAAGAATGGAAATCTTCAATCCATTCCAAAATCCATTTACATCAAACTCAAAGCCTTTCCAATTGCTATTTCATATTCAAAAGACTGACAAGAAGCACCTGTTTAACTACTAAATGGCCCACTAGGCCACTCTCATTGACTACCATCACCCGGCAACATCAACACCACAAAAAAGCAAACTAACCCAACTTCTTCAGCCTTACTTTAACACCTCGGTGGTCCAGCCTCTCCGTGTGTTCCTGACCGTTAATGTTTTGGGCTTCCCAGGGGGCTCACAGACCACTCACCGATGTTTAAAATGCTTACAATCACCTTACATTTTACTGGTGTCAAAATGTTTGTAAATGAATTTTCTACGAAATAGATACAAACACAAAAGTGTACTTATAGTAGATTTTGGTTCTCTTTGTTCGTTCTCGACTATAAACTTGGCGTGATCGTTGGGTCTGTAAAGCAATGCTTAAAATGTTTACAATTATTTTATTTTTTCTTAGTTCTTTTTTGGTAGTAACTATAAATTTGGTGTTAAAATATTTGCACACGAATTCTCTAGAGTAGATGCACAATAAGTGCATATGAATTCTCTAGAGTAGATGCACAATCAAGTGTATTAAAGTAGATTATGCATGACAGCAATGAACACATGAATGTTTATGAATAGCAATCAGATTGACACATTTTTGCATCATCGGAATATTTACTCAGAATATGGATGACACTAAAATGCATTATTAAAAAGTGTTACCTGGCCCATGTGGCAGGTTACAGAGACAGTCAGAAATCAAAACTGTTCTGCTTAGTGACTTGTGTTATAACCAAGAACTTAGTGCTTTGTTTGTGCTGAGGAATTATTTTACATTACAGAATGCTCAGCATATGTAAAACAAAAACCCTTTTTGCGCATCTGTTCTTTCAATGGCTGCCTGGTTAGTCCAAGTTTTCAACAGTGATAAGTCTGCTCATTAAGTTTTCCACTACATTTGCATTGCTTTGAATCTGTTACAAAAAATAAGTCTTTGTGTTGTACAAGTATTTATTAATATTAAATAACCACATGGGTTTTTCAGTTCTGTTTTAGTAGTGCACCACTGGTCATTTCTCTACCCTAGAGAATACCACAACATTTGTGACTATAATACTTGGCTCTATACCATTTAGAGGTGGTGGCCTGAAACTAAAATTTTTATCAGTATTATTTTTATCATTATTTTTTTATCAATATTATTTTTTTATTTTTTTTTTTTTATTTATTTATACCATTCATATACAATATATACTGTAAACCAATAAGGAACAAAAAAGCATTCTCAAATGACTTGCCTGCAAGCAGGAGGGACCTTTCCAAGAAATACGGCGTAAGTAATAGGAAGACGAGGTTTTCTGGGTACCTGTGATTTACGAGGAACAATGCGCTCCTCAACTTCTTCGTCCTCACAGTAATACTGAGATGAGATTAAATAAATATTATATAGAATTTATAAAAAATGGGTTCAGTGATTACAGATACCAAATAAAATTAAATAAAGAGACTTTTACTATCTTTATCCTAGGAGTGTTTTAACCCTTTTGCTGTGACACTTCCAATTCAGCCCCATAGATTTTCTGAATTTACCCGAGTGCCACCAACACTCTAGTTTCCTTGACGAGAACACGAAGCCGGCGGCTTGTCAAAGGTCCCCGCATTTGCCCATTTCATGGGTTTTACATAAGGCTAAACAACTCAATTTTATTCTAATGTTATTTTTAAATCCATAGTAATCAAATGACTTGCGCCTAACAACAGAACCATAAATAATTTCCAGTTTCTAATAGAAAAAATAATTTAAGTACATATAACTCAACACCAGACCATAGGAACTTCCAAAGACAGAATACAGTACTGTATTATTATAAAATAAAATGTTGAATATAATGAAACACTTTTTTGGTACACCTTATCACAACCAGGGGGGCACCTAGTAATGCATTTACTAAAGAAGGCAACCAACTTTAATCCGTTCTGAATCAACACTTGACAAATCAGGCCCTTGAAACTTACACAGAGCCACCAAGAGCCAAGACCAGAATCTTACCACCTCATAGCGGCAAAAGGAGCATGGGAATCAACAGTCGATTCAAAACTGAGGAAACTGTTCAAAATGTCAGGGGCAAAGCAAAACAAACCATTGTTCATAAGAAATTAAAGTAATAAACAAGGAAAACAATAGAGGGCAACAGGATAACAACCACGGCCACAACTTGCTAAACCACAATGTGGCAGCTCAGATCACCTGGGATATGGGTCCACAACCCACCTTACTCACATGCTGCCCAGAAAAACCTGAAACCACACAGAAAATAAGCCAAATGGGCAGGAACAGGGATTTACTAAAGAACCGCCCAAAAAAGGATGTTTCATTATGTTCAATGTTATACTTGTAGGCTGGGCTTCCCAGTAGTTATCCTTAGCTTACTCCAATAGCACCTTAGAAAGAATGGCTTTGCTAAAAGAGAAAACTACATTAAATGTAAAATAAAGCTAAAAGAGGGCTTATCCAAGAGAAAAAGGGTAGAAAACCAGGGTCCAGGGAAGAGGAACAAGTGTCATGTAAACTGACTGAGGGGCACACGAGCAGAACGAGAATGCAGAACATTCAATATGGGGAGTGTTGTTAACGTGCTGTTGGACCGACAAAAACTTTAAACCCATATGATAGCCGAGAAGGTATTAGAAAAGAAGGATATCAGAGTGGCAAACCGATACATAAGCATCGGGAAGGCTAAACCAAAGAGCTGGGAAGGTTAGTGAGGAAGGTGGAAGTGCAATCATTTTTGTGATCTGGACTACCATCTGACGACAGGCAAATTGTGGCAAGGGTTCGTTCACCCATTGCCAACTATGTTTGTCTTGTTTACTGCTTTAATTTCTTTCTTAAGAACAGCAATTTGTTTTGTTTTATCTAAAATTTTGGGCAGTTTCCTTAGCAGTTGAACTTTGACAGCCATGCTCTTCTAGCCTCTGCAAGAGGGCCAGATTCTGGTCCTGGCTGTCGGTACGTCTGTGCAAATTTCATGAGTCAGGTATGGGTTGAGAGGCGCCCTGGAACTAGTGCCTAAACCCACAGAAACAACTAAGAAATTTGTTCTTCCTTTGATGATTATGCTTAGTGGTTGGATATATAACTATACTATACAGTATATCATATGAACACACAGTCTAGTTTTGAGTGAGTCCATATTTTTTATTAGAAAGTTAAGACTTTTTCAAAATGTTTTTTGTTAATAACACTGCTGTTTAATTTTTAAATAACCACCGAGTTTATTTTTTTACTACAACTGTAAGAAAACAAATATGAAAATTTAAGTTTTTAGCTGTACAGTATTTCCATCTTCAGTCAGGAGAGGGCTGAAAAAATGTCACAGCCAAAGGGTTAATCAGAAGACCGGTTTAGTTGTTTAAAAATTTATAGTGTAATTTTAAAAATTTTATGCAAAGTAAAATAACAGTGTCTTAGCTCTGCACATGGATACATAATCTAGGATAGTCTCAGAAGACTAAATTATAAGATACGTACTTTTCTGTCATAACATGAGCTCTTCTAACATAAATCCTTTAACTTGTTACTTAGCTACAATATTGAAATATTTGTTAAATTAGGTAGTTCAAATATGGTTTTATGAACAGTGATAAAGCTATTTGTCAATTATTAAAACGATTCAAATTGATACTCACTCCATCTCTGCCATCCTCATAGTTTTCCTTGCTCACAACTTTATCCTTGGCTCGTTCTACTACAACCAGCTGATCTTGTAGAGTTAGTCCTTCCAGCTTTAATAAAACATCTTCACATTCCTCAGTGGGACCAGTGAAACGCAGGAAGGCAAATCCATTGCGACCTCGCCATGTTATGTCAATTGGTCTCACATTTCGGCTCTGTAGTGCATCTTTAAGTTCACGTACTCTGTAAACAAATATTTGTGAAATTTTATATTGCTTACCCCATACATAACTTGGATGTGTGTTCAATGCAGCCGATCATGCATAGTAAGGCATCCAGGAGATGGGTGGCTTGCCTCAGAATACAAAGAGCCACATAAGGAGCACATGAGTGGTTAAGAATATACAGTATGATTACAGGAGCATAATGAGTTATGATGATGATCATGAGGATGTGGTGGGGCATTAATGGTGACAGAGTAATCGGAAGATGGGGTCACCACGACCATAACTCGCATCCTATAACTACCCTTAGGTAATTACCTATCAGTCACTACTGGAAAGTGAGATCTAGCTCAGGTTTTTGTAGATTTTATATTTTAGTTAAGTGACGAAAGTAGCTTCAGGTACTTCTCTCAATATATTCCACTTGCTGACCATCCATACAAGGCATAAGAATTTCACTACGGTTCAACATGTATCCAGTTTCCACCAATGGCTCCTATTCCTACTTCCACTCAATAATAATAATAAGACTCTTCTTGTCTACCTTGTCTAATAACCTCTTAGTGATCATTATTTTTGCTATTTCTTCACTTTTCTAAGGTTGTAAGAGTAAGTTCCCTACCTGTTCTGATGGCTGAGCTTCTCAATTTTGTTACTAATGTAGTTGCAAGCTTTTGTATTGTCTTGGGTTTCCTTAAGTAATTCAAGAAGTGAGACTTCCATGCCAGTGTTGCATACTCCAGTAATAGTCCCACATTAGGTAGTACTGCATATATGGACTTGAAAGCCTCCTTTGTTTAGATTTTTAACCAAAACATAAAACACTTGAAATGTTGCCCAAAACGCTTTGCATAATAGTGGCCCCACTATTCAGTTCCACTTCCATATCCTTTTCTATTAATGTTTCTTCAAGTTGCCTTTTCTTGATAGTATAGATTCCCGCAAGCCTCCCATCTTCGTTATTTTACACTTGTTTGTCTTGAATTCCAGCAGCCATTATCTGACCACCCCTTATGTTTGTTAAAGTCTTCTTGCAACATTAACAGTTCTCTTAAAGCCATTATTCTCCTCATTAGCTTTCCAACATCTACAAATATGTATAGGTACAAGCTCACTCTCTTTTTGGAAGGATATTAAATCCCTGAGGACTTTTTTCAAAATTTTCCATGGGCTGCGTATCTGTCCCTTTTCTTTAGTCGTAGAACAACATATGCCATTTTCTAAACTTTTGGGGGCTTTCTGTTGTTAGGTTGAAAGCTCTATATAGTAAGTAGCACAGAATCCCTGTAGTAACATGGTGACACATAGTCCAGTTCCACTGCTTTTGTTGTACCTAGTTCCTCCAGGTGCCTTTTTACCTATTCTACAGTAACTTCTATTCTATTTAATATTGCTTATAGCCATCTGTCACCACCTCTCCTTGGATTTCAATCTGGTTCCAGTTTGTAGACCTGAAACCTCTTGACGAGTTCTTCACACACATTTTGTGTGTGTGAAGAATTCAACAAGACAATGACATATCCGTCATTTTCCATGAGTGTTACTCCCGCTTTCTGCAGACTGATCAAGTTGTTTCACTGATAGTTTCCTCTGTTTACGGGAATGCAATAGCTTAGGCTGATCCTGTTTAAGTCACAATGCTGTTTTCAAACTGTTGATCTGCAGCTCGTCTGATGTATTCATTTATGGCTTTCATTTTTGCCTTCCTATTTGATTCTGTACCCAATTCCCTATACTTTTTCCAGGCAATATCTTTTACTTTACCTCCTTTCAATGTCTGTTAAACCATGGGTTTAATGGATTCAGTTACAGAATACAGTTGGGTTGTACAAGGAAGTACTGAAGTAGCAGACAAGTGGATCAGCTACCTTCAGCAATACACCAGAACAAGCTGAATGCATGAAAATATAAGTCCAAAAATATAGCCTACTGATGGAGAGACTGGTTTCTAGTATTACAGAAATATGCTCACTTAATAAAGAAGTTCGTACAAGAATCACCATACTGATTGGCAGAATGCCACTGATACTTAAACTAAATAACTTTGATTTCAGAAACTTTAAAAGTTTCTGTTCTAATGTATAGCAACCATATATACTGTTCATATTTACCTGCAAGCTGGAGGAACTTTGCCCAGGAATACAGCGTAAGTTACGGGAAGGCGAGGTTTTCTGGGCCGTTGAGATCTGCCACCTCCCATCTGCTCCTGACCCTCATCATCCAAGTCTGCAGACCCTAGACGATCATGCTCATTGGTAGCCTCTACAGTCCTTCTCACAATCCGATTCTTCTTGCTCACATTAATTGTGACCTTTGTTGGATACTAAATATGAATGAACAATCAAGTAATCAGATCACAACAAATCCAAGCTATTACGTTTACAATGTGCTTTAACCACCTTCCATCCAGTGGGGGCATTCATACAGGATTAGCATTAGCTTATTCTGACCAGTCCTCTATACACAAAGCAGAACAAAAATTTAACTTTAATTTCTAAATAGAAAATTTTATTTATGTTCATTTTGAGGTCATCACATCAAAAATTGAATTTATATATTTAAGCTAACGTTATATTTAAGCTAATGTTATATTTAACACAGACATGCATCACAGACATGCAGACAAGCACATAAATATACAAACATGCCTATTTTACACATATTCACAAGAGCTTAATGTGGAGCTCAAGGGTCAAGTCACCAGTCATCAACCAGCAAGTATCTCTCATGCACCACACATGGCTCAGCTCTCGCCTCAAGTGTAGCATAATACTAAATCAAGTATAATATCAAATTCTTAAAATAATTTAGTTTAACATACACACCATGTATGGTACTGTAATGGGCCTGTATGGTACGGTATTGTTTAGCTGTTAAGAGCTTTTATCATACCAGATACACAAGGCTAGTGTAAAGGAAAAAGGGAGGGGGTGAGGTTAGTGAGGTAAAGGTGGGAGGGGTGAGGTTAGTGAGGTAAAGGTGGGAGGGGGTGAGGTTAGTGAGGTAAAGGTGGGAGGGGTGAGGTTAGTGAGGTAAAGGTGGGAGGGGGTGAGGTCAGTGAGGTAAAGGTGGGAGGGGTGAGGTCAGTGAGGTAAAGGTGGGAGGGGGGTGAGGTCAGTGAGGTAAAGGTGGGAGGGGTGAGGTCAGTGAGGTAAAGGTGGGAGGGGTGAGGTCAGTGAGGTAAAGGTGGGAGGGTGAGGTCAGTGAGGTAAAGGTGAGAGGGGGTGAGGTCAGTGAGGTAAAGGTGGGAGGGGGTGAGGTCAGTGAGGTAAAGGTGGGAGGGGGTGAGGTCAGTGAGGTAAAGGTGGGAGGGGGTGAGGTTAGTGAGGTAAAGGTGGGAGGGGTGAGGTCAGTGAGGTAAAGGTGGGAGGGGGTGAGGTCAGCTAGGTAAAGGTGGGAGGGGTGAGGTCAGTGAGGTAAAGGTGGGAGGAGTAAGGTCAGCGAAGTAACATTAATGAGGGTGCTACTGGACAACTTTCATGACAGCCAGGACAGGGTAAACTACCATACTGGAATAACACAGATCTTTTCAGATAACCCTTTTAAGTAATACTGATCCTATGTTGGAACTTATAAATATAAAGCCTTCACAAGGGCAATTTAGCATAACAATAACCACCAAATAAAACTACTGGTCTGTCCACCTGGTGAATACCCTCCTCCCCTGACTGTCAGCAGATAGCAGTACCCACACAGTACCGGTCTCATGATCGAAGCCACATCACACCCATCCCGACTGGTCCCAGTGGTGGTTGGTGCCCGGTGAAATCTAGCCTGTCCTGACAAGTTTCTGTGATGGTTGCTAGGGCATTATGTTTTATTTGAAATACTTATGTATGAGAAGTCTTTTGTGTATCTTGCCACTTTAAACTGGTTGGTGACCCAGTCAGGTGCACACTGCCAACCTGTCCTAACTCTACATGATGCTGTCCAATGGTACCAGGATCTTACTTAAGGTATCGTTCAAGTGTGGTAGCTCAGACAATTATCTCAAGTGGCTGAGGACTGCTGACCTTACCTTACAGAATATGGCTCCCAAAAGACAAACAATTTAACATAAACGGAAAATGCAGCATCAAAAGCAGGACCTTGCACATAAGCACTAGCTATACTACATTGAGCACTACATTATTTATACACCAAAAGCATTATCTCCACAATAAAATGAAAATCATTACCAATTAAGCCCAATTTTGACTATTTTATCCACTTCTCTCCTTTCTGGTTACAATTTTAAACATAAAAGTAATACCTCAAGTATTACTCCTGAGAGTTCCTTCTCTTACAACCTGGCAGAGATCCAGACTTACTTTGTGATATCTGATCATCCAGCTTCTTGTAGGATGTAGCCTACAAACTCCCAGACAACCACAAATTGACTGGTCAGGCAAATTATAAAGAAACTTGTCAAGCCCACTTGCTTGACTAAAGAAATCTTGAAGCTCTCCACTGATGTACAAGCTAGGTTTTCTACCTTAATAAGACCTCTTCTATACAAGTACTTTTCTTTGCCCACAACTTAAGCACAAAAACAGTTCATTATAATAAAATACATCTCATAAATACAATTTGCATCTTATATGTGCAATTAACTTTTCAAGGAGTTAGTACATGCTCATGTATGTACCTGGACGAGGTTCTGGACGTTCTTCTACTCCCCAAGCCCAGCCCGGGGCCAGGCTTGATTTGTGTGAGCTTGGTCTAACGAGATGTTGCTTGAAGTGGCCCGCAGGCCTACAAAGCCACTATAGCATGGTTAGTCCAGCACTTCTTGCATAAAACTACCCAGCTTTTTCTTGAAGACTTTCACTTTTGTTCCGGCAATATTTCTTATACAATAATTACTGGGAGGACACTGAACAACCGTGAGCCATTGATATTCACGTGGTGTTCTCTGATTGTGCTTATGGCACCTCTATTATTCACTGGCTCTATTCTGCATTTCCTTCCATATTGTTCACTCTAGTATGTTATTTTACTGTGCAAATTTGGCACCTGGCCCTCTAGTGTTTACCCTGTACATGTATATATTTTTTTATACCAATCTCATCTCATTTCTAGAGTACATTTTGAGAGCTTTAAGACTATCCCAATAGTTTAGGTGCTTTATCGTGCTTATGCATGCCATATCTGTTTTCTGCATTCCCTCTATTTCAGCACTCTCTCCTGCTCTGAAGGGGAAAGTGAGTATCGAGCAGTACTCAAAACGGGACCGCACCAGTGATTTGAATAGTATGAGCATTGTGATGGGATCCCTGGATTTGATGGTTCTCGGAATCCATCCTATCGATTTTCTAGCTGACGCTATATTTACTTGATTACGTTCTTTAAAGCCAGTGAGAACCCCACAGCCAGCAGGGAAGTGATAGCAACACTGGGCCAGTCCTGCCAACCTCACTATGCCCACCCCTGCCTCTCCCCTCCCTCTTAAACATTAGGTCATCAGGCATCATTATTCCGAGATCCTTTATATGATGCTATGCACATTTTTTATTGGATTTTGTTCACTGTATTTTCTTTAAGGTCTTCATTTTTAAAATACCCTAAATACCCTAAGGACCTGGAATTTAGTTGAACATCATGTTACTTTTTGCTACCCAATCAAAAATTTTATTAAATATCAGCTTGTAGTTTTTTAATGTCTTCTAGAAAAGTTACTTTCATGCTGATTTTTGTGCCATCTGCAAAAGATGACATGAAGGTGTGACTTGTATTTTTTTTCAATATCTGATATGAAATAAGGGAAAGCAGTGGTACAAGGACTGTGCCCTAAGGTACAGAGCTTTTTAATGTGCTTGGACTCAATTTTATTTGATTGACTGTAACTCTGAGTTCTCTTTGACAGAAAATTTAATATCAATCATCTTACTTTACCTGTTATTTCTACTGACCTCATTATGTGGGCTATCACTCCACAGTCACATTTATCAAATGCCTTTGCAAAGTCTGTGTATATCAGATCTGCATTCTGTTTTTCTTCTAATGCATCAGTGATTTTGTCATAGTTATGAATCATCTGGCAATAAGCTCATTCATGTTGTAAATGATTTAGCAACATACTCATACAGTAAGTTATGAAAAACTTGGCAACAATGTCAAGTAATTACCTAAGTGTAGTTGCAGGATGAGTGTTATGTACATCACTATTTATGAATCGCCTCTTTTGTCAAAATTAACTTTGAACATTTCACAGGGATTTAGGAGTGTCTCCTCTCCCTAATACCCATCTGGGCTACAAAGACCATGCACAAATTCAAATCTGAATTATTCAGCTCGTGCTGGGATGCCAACCTATTTACCAACCTACACTCACTATCAATGTGGTTACAGAAATCACAAATAAGATCCGAAAGTCTCTCTTTCTCAGATCATGTTTACAACCCGATATTGCCTAAACAAAACTTTGTTTACATTAATAATTCTCTCACCTGAATATTTTTTTGTCCTTTGTCTTCACTTTCTGATATATATCTGCCCCTTGCTCGACCAGCTCCTCTACCTCTGCCACCAACACGTGCTCCACGGACCCCTCGACCACCACTGCGCCCACGACTACTAGCTCTCAGTTCTTCAACAGAAGGAAGGTCTACTCCATTTGCTAAAGTCACATCTTTTCCTGCACTGAATAAACAAAAATTAGCGAGATATTTTTCAGCATGTATATAGTTATTATTATTATTATATACTAGTTACTACTCCAGATGTTTTGATTGTCTATCTCCAGTAGAGAGATTTGTAAATAAAAATTAAATAACAAATCTTAGGATAAGTAAAATCCAAACCCATGTCTTGCAAACTTAAAAATGATCTAACAAAGTACTTTTTGCGAGTAGTTAAAAAGTAAAGGTTGAAAAGCTGAATAAAAATATTCTCCATTCGATATTGTGATATATATTTACACATGAAAGAAAACTCTCATTCCAACAGATAAGCAAGACAAACTCATATTTTTACATTGGGTGAAAGTGAATTCTTTCTTAAAACTTTATTAGACTTTTAAATTAACCCTTCAACTGCGACTATAGAAAAATGATCATAAATACCCGCCTCAACGAAAATAATAAAAGAATTTCCAACAAATAATTTTTCAATATGGAATTATAAATTTGTATGCAACATGTAAGAAAAACCCAAAAATAAGTGAATATTTATCGTTTCACTGGGTGGAGGGACTCTGGAAGGGTGTGTGGTGGCGGTGTCTGGTGCCCGACTCTGCTGACACTTTCTGTGTTGTCCTTGGATGTTTCACTGATTGTTTATCACTTGTTTCTCTTTATTTACAATAGTATGTGTGTTGAATAACTTGATAGATCATGTAATTCACATAACAATTCTTTTAGTGGACGATTGGTTTACCTGGTATAGTCTATCACAACCATAGTGAAAAGAATATGAACAATGGTGCCAATTAGGCCATATGTCATTGCCCAGAGCCCAACATCATTGAATATTATGTTCATATTCTTTTCACTACTCTATACTGGTTGTTATGGAGTATACCAGGTAAACCAATCATCAATTGAAACATTATCATGTGTTATGTGAGTTATCAAGTTATTCAACATACATATTCTTGTAAATAAAGAGAAGCAAGTGATAAACAATCAGTGAAACATTCAAGAACAACACAGAAAGCGTCAGCAAAGTTGAGCACTGAACATTGACAGGCGCCAGACACAGGCGCCACGTAACCTTTCAGAGCGCCTCCACCAAGAAAATAATATTAATTTATTTTTGTATTTTTCTTACATTCTGAAAAAACTCCATCTGCACACCATCACTGCAAGGGCAGTGATGGGTGGGCAATGATGGTGGGCATATAGGTGGTGAGGTGGTGGTACTGGTTGCCTCACAGATATTAACATTCTGGCCATGTCTGCTGCCCATTAAAATAAAATAAAATATGTTCTCACAACCAAGAATACTTTACAGTTATAACCATATAACAATAATGGTTACCAATGGGCTACAGTGCCCAATAATAAAAGGAACCTTATTATTATAACCATATAGGCACTGACGGTTTCACACCAGTATTGTACAATAAGGCTCTCTCAAGATATCACACAGAAACTTGTCTAGTTAAAAAACTATAAGATATTTCTACGGGGTTAACCAAACACAGCATTATGTACATACTCGCATTCCTGTTCACGCAGGACCCTCAGGATGGGAACTTGTCGAAATTTCTCTGGCGTTAGAAGATGCCAGTAGATGCCTTCTGGCTTTGGTAGATTGTGATTAACTTGGATCACTTCGCATGGAGTAACAATGAAATCAATTGGAACATCGTGAGGACCAAACAGACGGTCAGGAAGTTCATCAAATACCTAAGAAACATATAAAATAACATTAATAAAATTAAAAAAAAAAAGTTATTAGTGTCATCAGTGGTTACATTTTTGTTATAAAAGAATGTCTGATGATTCAAAATATTTTACCTTTTTGTGCCAATCTTTTTCTAGTGTTTTATGTAAACATGGGAAACTGGCTTAGGCAGTAAACCAGTCATGTTTTATGTAAATATGATGGCTTTAGGCAGTCACAGTGTGACTGCAGGATGGAATCTGCATCAAGTCAATAGTGCCAGTTCTGAATACAGTATGTATGTATGTATGTATGTATGTATGTATGTATGTATGTATGTAAATATATATATATATATATATATATATATATATATATATATATATATATATATATATATATATATATATATATATATATATATGTCGTACCTAGTAGCCAGAACTCACTTCTCAGCCTACTATTCAAGGCCCGATTTGCCTAATAAGCCAAGTTTTCCTGAATTAATATATTTACTATAAGTTTTTTTCTTATGAAATGATAAAGCTACCCTTTTCACTATGTATGAGGTCAATTTTTTTTATTGGAGTTAAAATTAACGTAGATATATGACCGAACCTAACCAACCCTACCTAACCTAACCTAACCTATATATATAGGTAAGGTTAGGTTAGGTAGCCAAAAAAGCTAGGTTAGGTTAGGTTAGGTAGGTTAGGTAGACGAAAAAACATTAATTCATGAAAACTTGGCTTATTAGGCAAATCGGGCCTTGCATAGTAGGCTGAGAAGTGAGTTCTGGCTATTAGGTACGACATATATATATATATATATATATATATATATATATATATATATATATATATATATATATATATATATATATATATATATATATATATATATATATATATATATATATATATATATATATATATATATATATATATATATATATATATATATATATATATATATATATATATATATATATATATATATATATATATATATATATATATATATATATATATATATATATATATATATATATATATATATATGTCGTACCTAGTAGCCAGAACTCACTTTTTGGCCTACTATTCAAGGCCCGATTTGCCTAATAAGCCAAGTTTTCCTGAATTAATATATTTTTTCTAATTTTTTTCTTAAGAAATGATAAAGCTACCCATTTCATTATGTATGAGGTCAATTTTTTTTATTGGAGTTAAAATTAACGTAGATATATGACCGAACCTAACCAACCCTACCTAACCTAACCTAACCTATCTTTATAGGTTAGGTTTCGTTAGGTAGCCGAAAAAGTTAGGTTAGGTTAGGTTAGGTAGGTTAGGTAGTCGAAAAACAATTAATTCATGAAAACTTGGCTTATTAGGCAAATTGGGCCTTGAATAGTAGGCCAAAAAGTGAGTTCTGGCTACTAGGTACGACATATATATATATATATATATATATATATATATATATATATATATATATATATATATATATATATATATATATATATATATATATATATATATATATATATATATATATATATATATATATATATATATATATATATATATATATATATATATATATATATATATATATATATATATATATATATATATATATATATATATATATATATATATATATATATATATATATATATATATATATATATATATATATATATATATATATATATATATATATATCAGTAGTTATAGTATCTTCATAAGAATAATTAGTAAATCTACAATAAAATATTTGGTAAAATATCTGCACAGATATCAATATACTGGGTAATTGTCTATTATCAGCTACTTTACATTATAAATTAAAAGCCTATAATAAATGTGGTGATGTTCGTCCTTCGGATGAGAAGATGACCATGACTTCAATATATCAGGTCGAAGGTCGGTGGCTGTGTGTCATATGATGGAGGATGAGACCAATCTGGGTCCGGAAGGCTCGCCCACACTTGGGGAAGGTACATTTGTGGGAGGGTGCTACTGCAGAGATTGAGGTTGCCTCTGCAGTCCATCTATTTTCTGCCACATGGGCCCCTGTAGTGACTTTGCTCTTCAAAGTTGGACGGTACCCAGCAAGCGACTCCCAAGTATTGGTGTTATGTCCAGGTCTTTGAGGGTCACCTTGAGACAGTCCTTGAATCATTTCTTCTTTCCCCAACAGAACATGTGCCCTGGCACAATTCTCCATACAGCTCCTGTTTAGGCAATTGGCTGTCAGGCATTCTGACAATGTGGCCTGCCCATCTGGCTTGCGTTTTCTGTAGGAGGGTGTAGATGCTGCGAATACCAGCCCCTTTCAGGACCTTGGTGTCTGGGATTTTGTCCTGCCACCTGATATAGAGATGAACAAGAAGTCTCATATGACAGTTTCCTTCACCTTTACCTTTGTAACTGCCTGGAGGAGCCTGAGGTTGAACAGTCCACCGTTAGTCCTGTATCTGATGGGTATTCCATCCTCGCAATCACGGATGGCATCAGTGAGCATGGCCGAGAATACCATGCTGAATAATGTTGGGGCGAGAAAGCAGCCCTGCTTCACACCTTTCGTCACTGGGATGTCTTTTGACTCGTCTACATCATCCAGTACTTTCGCCATCATGCCATCGTGGAACCGCTAGACAATCGCAGTGAATTTGCCAGGACAGCCAAACTTCTGCATTATTTTCCACAAGCCATCTCTGCTGACAGTATTGAAGGCCATGGTCAGGTAGACGAAAGTCACAAAGAGGTCACTATGTTGCTGTTGACATTTTTCTTGGAGCCGGTAAGCAGCAATTATCATATTGACAGTTTCGCGTTCTGAACAGAAGCCGTGTTGGCTTTCTGGGAGGAGACCCTGCTCAAGGAGTTGAAGAAGACAGTTGAGCAGAATACGAGCCATGACATGGTAAAAGAATTGCAACCAGAAGTTCTACTGAACTTACTTGGATCCTGCAGCCTCTCTAAGACACAAACCAGAATTTCACACAATTCCCCCATGCACTCCAGCTATGTCAATAGGCCGTTCTACCTCTTCGCCCTTACTTCATTACACAGAAATCACACTAGCGTGATGCATCAAATGAACAAATCCACTTGTGGATTTGTTCATTTGATGCACCACGCTATTGTGATTTCAGTGTGTAAGGAGTGAAATACCCCGGTGACTATCACAAGACCGACAGTTGCCTTTCCTATTGTGGATGTGAACTATGCTGGCATCTTTTAACTGTTGTGTGACCTTCCCTTCATTGCATATAGACTGGAAGAGCTTTGTCAGTTTATGCATCCTGGCTGGGCCTCCTGTTTTGAACACTTCAGTAGGGATTGCATCTGATCCTAATGCTTTGCCACAGAAAAGCTGCTTGATGGTCTACCTGATTACTACTACTTGTGGGAAGTTTATTAAGGTCCTGATTGATCTCCATTTGAGGTAGGCAGGCAATGGCCTCATAGTTAATTGAGGCAGGACGGTTAATGACCTGATCAAAGTGTTCAACCGATCTGACCAAGATCTGCTTATTCTTTGTCAGCAGTTGAGCGAGTCCCATCTGCACTGAAGATAGAAGCAGAGCCAGGTCTGTTGTACATTTATAGCCTTCAGAGCATCATAGAAATGCTTGGTGTCATGACACTGTGTGTAACCTTGAATTTCATCTGCCTTCTTGCTAAACCTGCATCTCACAGTTTCCTTTGCACCATTCTTTGAGTACTGGCAAAGGCATCTTTTTTTTCCCCCCTTATGATGTAGGATTGTTCTGACGTGCACGAAACAGGTAATCATTTTATTGCAATACCTGTATCTTGTTGTTTTCGATGAACCAGGCCTGGTTTCTGCAGGTTGCTGGTCCATGGTGCTCAAGGGCAATAGAGTAGACGGCATCTCTGAAAGCTGCCCACCTCACCTAAATGCTGTCCAGGCCATTCTGCGTTGTCTAGCATCCTGATTTCCAGTCAGTGAAAAAACCCTCAGCAACTTTGCTGCTAATAATAATAATTGTAGATGTCATGTAACTCACTAGCTTACTTATACCTTAATGCCAACATAGATCACTTCTCCTGTCTCATCTTACCAGACAGTTTCACAACACAGTCTCTGCCTCTGCAGCATGCACTCCTAAATGTTATTGCACACATTTCACATTACTAATATCATTGCCCCTCTGACTGCATTACTTTTATATTGTCTTGATCATCCTGTTGTTTTACCTCCACCGCTACCTCAACAACACAACAGCCAGGATGGAAACATAAGCAGAGAAATTCCTGATTATGAGAGAGAAATTACTAAAAGGAGACTTGAGTTATACTAAATTTAGAACCATACCTGACAATCATGAACAGTGGTGACAATAGGAGTATCATCATCCACTGCCTTCACTGCTCTCATCATGGCATACTCTAAGTCAGCAAAGCCTTCACCTTTGCCAATTCTTCTTCCTAGAATAAACCCCAAAACTAAATAAGCAATCTTTAAATACGTCAGTCACCTTACAAAACCATACTATAAACATGTACAGTTCTCACAAAAACTAAAATTTAACTACAATCTGACTTTAAACTACCACATAATATAAGGAGCCTTAAACATAATTAATATACAATAATAATTTTTTTTAATATTCATTAAAATACAAGATAATGTATTTTGCAGGCGATGAGTCACAATAAAGTAGCTAAAGTAAGTTGACCAGACCACACACTAGAAGGTGAAGGGACGACGACGTTTCGGTCCGTTCTGGACCATTCTCAAGTATTGCACAATCGACTTGAGAATGGTCCAGGACGTTGCACAATCGACTTGAGAATGGTCCAGGACGTTGCACAATCGACTTGAGAATGGTCCAGGACGGACCGAAACGTCGTCGTCCCTTCACCTTCTAGTGTGTGGTCTGGTCAACAAATGTATTTTGACTGAATTCAATAATCCATAATTCAATCCAGCATGTGACCAAGATGATGATAGGTTATGAAATTTCTTGTCATTATTTCCTCTCTCACTAAAAAATCTTCCTGGTATGTATGGGTGTTGCTGTATTCATAATGTTTATTTTAATTTTATTCACTTGGTTCCTTTGGTATGAAATGTTGGGATGTCTGTTAAAACATTCCTTCTTGTTGAGTGAAGTTTTGCAGTTTTGGGTGGAAAACTTTGTGATTTTTAGTGATATTTACTTGTATTTAGAATATTTCTGTAGTTTCTTAGGTGTTTATATTTGCATATTTCATTAGTTCCCCCTGATATCCCATATTTACATATAGTCAATGCATACGTATATTTAATACACACCTCTATTTTTATTAAACTGGATACAGTACTCAACTGTAAAAATAGTTCTTCATTTATTTCCCTTCTATTCCTTAATTTCATTGCAATTCATAGTACTATACCTTTCTCATATGCTTTCATTCATAGTGTTGTATGGCACAGGACCTGGAAATGCCAACTATTTCCAGAATTTTTTAAATTAAGCCTAACATCAACACTAATATTAAGAAAATAGCTGCATTACGCCATGTATTTGCATGCATGTACTGTATAATACAACAATATCTTGCAAACACAACACTGTAGGTTACTGTAGTATGTTTTACCTGTGCGAGATACCGCCACTGACCCAATAACAATGAGATCAACCTTAATGCCCATATCAAGACCCACAGGCTTGGAGTGTTTCTTCATTCCTTCCGTTTGGGCCATAACTCGGAGATTTTCTTTGTTTTCAGAGGAATTTCCATCCATACGGTTAAAAAGGCCACTTCGTAATCGTGGAGTGGGGACAAGCAGCACTTTCCCAGCCTTGAAACAATACAAAATATACAGTAAAATTAAAATCTTAAATATTTTGATAATGTGCACATTGAAGAACTGTCTGGTAATTACATATGTAACATATGGGTAGTAGATATTTTGTCATGTCATATTTTCAGTCAGTCAGGCTATGTACTCTAGGATCTCTCTCCCTGACACTAGATCTGTCACCACCATTTAAGTCTATTTTCATTACCCACTCCAGGATATAATTTTTATCTCTAGTACAATCCTAATCATCAATTACCTTAAGTTTCCATATATTTTTTTGGTTAGCCAACATCAGGTGACAAATTAAACCAATAATAGTAACAAATTGCATGTTGACAAAGTGTACATTTTAAATATATTTAAAGTTAAATTTATGTTATTTCAATACATTATAGCTACACAACATATGTCCAGGTATATGCATTTTAAACTTGAAGAAAGTGTTGAAGCACTTTCAAGACTTTAAAGTAAGTGATTGTCATTATATTCAAGAAAAATAACCTACTTCACTACTAGTACAGTACTAATGGGAAAACATTATCCAAAACCAGCACTGTATGCTACATGATGTCAGGGAATGCAAAAATTTTCTCCAATCTGTCCTAAAATCAAAGTTCAAAAGAAATAAGTCTGTAAATGAAACACTTACCTCTAGAGTTAGGAACCTCACTTCTTCCTGAGGTTTATCTGGATTCACTTTTATAGTATGAGCAGAAGTGAAACATGGAAGATCACAAACTCGATGACCAGCCTCACCAGCACCCTGCAAATATACTATATTTTGTATCGAAACTAATGCTAGTATAATTATAACAAGCCAACCAACAGTCCTTTATGAAGAAAAGTGAACCATACAAGGTTCAAAAAACTTCAAACCCAATCTTCAGTGTAAAAAAAAAAAAAAAAGTTGAATGTAATCAAACGTCATTTTCTGGGTGGAACCTCTTTGGCTCCCTGCAGCTTATCCAGGCTGATATGGATATATTAGACTTTGGCATCAGTCACTGTGAATGGAGTTCTTAGGCCTACTGGGGGACCACAAGCCAGAACCTGGCCCCCTCAGAGAGGCACAAGGAGCAATGGCCTATAGAACTGCTCTTGTAATTTGGAGCATTCTATGTCTGCCATCAACTGGGTCAGGCACCCAGAAAGGTAAGCATCCCAAAACAAACCCCCAAATCTGGTTAAAACTACTACTGAAAGTCAAACGAGTGGACAGAACTCCCCAAGACAAACGAGCAGACGAGCATGACGTCACCATGTGCCACGCTGCCGTCTGTGCAGCTACCCCCTCCCCGGGAGGGGGAAGGAAGAGCCCCAGACCCCTCACGCTGGCTACCCACACCCCAGTTCTGAAGTTGGATGTCAAAAACACTCGAAAAACCACAGACCGGAGGGAGGGAGGGTTGCCGGGGAGCCTCCGGGTCTCACCCAGAAAATGGTGTTTCATTACATTCAATGCTGGTTTTCTTGGGAGAGCCCTTTTGGCCTCCAGAGCTACATAGCAAAAGATGTAAAACAAAAGGGACTTACCCAGGAGACAGTCGGCACTCACTCCTCAACGCGAAGTCGAGATAACTGGCTGCATCCGCCGACCAAGGCGACACAGGCCCAACTAGGCCCAGGCACATTGACTAGGTAGTGCACAGCCAGGACCCCGTTTGATCGCCAAAAACCCTGTGCCCGAATGTCAGCCTAAGACATGTTACCGAAGACGGCAGCAAGAGCAGCAAATTTACGAACATCGTGGACACGGAAATAGACCACAAGCTGGCTAGACCGAATAACCCTGCGGATGACCTGGGAGGCTCGAACCCTGGAATAGGGAAGAAGGGAAACTGGATCAATCCAAATCGCGTCCCAGAGACAGAAGTCGTGGCATGCAAATAACGGCAGAGAGCAGCAACCGAACACAACACATGATGTACCCCTGGCCTGACCAACCAAATATCAACAACCCAGACCTCTGCGCCGGAGAACATGAAGCTCTCCAACCTGACCCCAGAGGCCAATGCCAACGGGAAAAGAACCTTGGAGAAACAATATGGAACCAAAGGGGCCACTACAAACTGAGGGGGAAGAGAGATAAGAGAGCACCCTGTCCAACGACCAGGACGGCTCAAGCGGTGCACAAACAGGCCAAAGGTGAAACAACGCCCAAGACGGCTTGCGAAATGATGCAGAAATGACATTGAGGCCAAAAGCAAGCTGCAGCTGCTCTGCCAGTGCTGCACGATACGAGGCAACAGTATTCAGCAAAAGATGACGGTCCTGAAACAGCCACAAGAGAAAGGACAACCTTAACAGAAAGTAAAGTAACCCTACGAAGAGACAAAAAAAAAAAAAAAAAATACGGAAGGACCGCCAGGAAACTTCATACAGCCGACGAGACGAAGCACGCAGGTGGGACACCATTAACGATGCCACCTGATCCCCATACAGATGGTGATAGACCCTGAGTCAGAAATACCAGACCCGAAGACTCAAGGAGAAGATCGAACCAGCTACGTAACGAACCGGACCAATCTGCCGAAAAAGGCGGAGCCGCGGGAAAACCCCTGGGTTCGGACACGGAGCAAGCAGTGCCTGAAACCAGGGCTGGGCCGGCCACCAAGGGGCCAAGGGGACTACTCTCCCCTGGGAAGTCTCCAAGCGAGCCAGGACCTGGAGCAACAGCTGAACTGGGTGAAAGAGGCACAGGTAACCCCACCTCAACCAGTCCTGCCGAAAGACATTGACCCTGACAGCCTCGCAGTCGGGGAAGGGTGCCACCCATCACGACCGCAGGCCATCGGAAACAACCCGGAAATCCCACAAATCGTCAGACCAGGTTTGAGCGAACAGCGCGAGCCCCCCCCACCCTTCCACATCACCCCGTCAATGAGGCAAACTGCTAAAGGGTCGACGCCTCTTGCGAAAACCCGTCTACGCACAGAGCAATCACCGTGCCGACCAGACGAAGTCGGGTCCAAAGGCGGCGCCAGCCCAGAAGCTGGCACCAGTGGCCTACAATGACAAAAGGAACCCCGAGTCCAAGCATGACCCCTTCGGCAGGACCCCTCCCCCCCCCCCCGAAGAGCCCCAAAGGACCAACAAGTCCGACATCAGACAACAACTAGAAAAGGCTATCTTCTCTTGAGGTTATCTTGAGATGATTTCGGGGCTTTAGTTTCCCCGCGGCCCAGTCCTCGACCAGGCCTCTACCCCCAGGAAGCAGCCCATGACAACTGACTAACTCCCAGGTACCTATTTACTGCTAGGTAACAGGGGCATCAGGGTGAAAGAAACTCTGCCCACAGTTTTTCGCCGGCGCCCGGGATCGAACCCGGGACCACAGGATCACGCATCCAGTGTTCTGTCCGCTCAGCCACCGGCTACCTGCAGAAACTGCCCAACTGCAGACTGCAAACAGCAAGGGACAAAAAGACAACGAAAACGTAAGAACCAGGGCCAAAACAGATTCCAACAAGGAAGCGAGCACCACTTGCCGACATGCCAGACGCGAAGCGAAAAAATGTGACACCACATCCCACAGGATCGGCGCAAACAGCTTCAGCAGCAGCAGACGATGAATGCGCCGCTGAGGCCAACCCGCACACCCAGGAACAGCCCCAAGCGCTTCCACATCCTCCTCAAGCTAATCCAAAGACAGATCCAAGAGGGGAAAAGAATCGCAGGACAGAAGCCAGCAGGCCACGAGCACGTAAGTCCTCAGCCACAAGTGCAGCCGAAAGGGAGGGAACCTGCACATAAAGCTAAATCATGCCAACGTCCCCCTGAAGGACAGAGATGAACTAAACACACATTGAGGTGCTCAAATTCGTCCTCCGGGTAAACCTGGACCACCGTTAACGCCTCATGCCACTTAAGCGTACTGGTACAGCAGAAAGTACTCTGAGCACCCAAAGACAACACAAGGCAGTCCATTATCCAGGACAACTCTGAACCCTCATAACAAACCCAGTATGGAGGCGAAGATCCAAACCTGAAAGAAGACGGATCCATTATAGAGGCATAATCCGGGTCACGCAGGGGGTAAGTCGCAATGGCCGCCCATACCTCAGTAGGCGAGACGCGGGAAGCCGAAAACCTCCGGAAAAATGGAACCGACGGACCCGAACCCGGGGAGGAGCCAACACCAAATCCAACTCGTACAGAGAGGGAGTAAAAGAAAACCCCAATCCTTGTAACAGTAAGCCCCGCTCCTGCTTGATACCTGCTTGATGGGGTTCTGGGAGTTGTTCTACTCCCCAAGTCCGGCCCGAGGCCAGGCTCGACTTGTGAGAGTTTGGTCACCAGGCTGTTGCTTGGAGCGGCCCGCAGGCCCACATAACCACCACAACCCGGCTGATCAGGAACTTCTCTTAGAAAACAGTCCAGTTTTCTCTTGAAGATGTCCACGGTTGTTCCGGCAATATTTCTTATAGTCGCTGGGAGGACGTTGAACAACCGCGGACCTCTGATGTTTATACAGTGTTCTCTGATTGTGCCTATGGCACCTCTGCTCTTCACTGGTTCAATCTTGCATTTTCTTCCATATCGTTCACTCCAGTACGTTGTTATTTTACTGTGTAGATTTGGGACTTGGCCCTCCAGTACTTTCCATGTGTATATTATTTGGCATCTCTCTCGTCTCCTTTCTAGAGAGTACATTTGGAGAGCTTTGAGACGATCCCAATAATTTAGATGTTTTATCTCGTCTATGCGTGCCGTATATGTTCTCTGTATTCCCTCTATTTCAGCAATCTCTCCTGCTCTGAAGGGGGAAGTGAGTACTGAGCAGTACTCGAGACGGGACAACACAAGTGACTTGAAGAGTACAACCACTGTGATGAGTTCCCTGGATTTGAAAGTTCTCGTAATCCATCCTATCATTTTTCTGGCTGCCGCAATATTTGCTTCTTGAGTTTATCTTGAGATGAGATAATTTCGGAAGCGAAATATGCTTGGTTATGCTCCCTAAACGTTAGATCGCTCGGAGGGTAGGAAAACCCAGGTGGGGGTCCAATGGGGCCCAAGGTCCCAAGTCAGCCTTTCCCCAACCCCGGGAACCTCCACACCAGGACCCGGGGCAGAGTCGTCCTCCAAAGCCTCGGCCTCGCAAGAAAAATCTGAGGCCGCTGTCATAGGTGAAAACTAGCTGTGCAGTACCCCGCGCCCCTACCAGTGACGAAAACTACCCCTACCCAGAGACAAACAAGGGTAAGAAAAACCCCAGCTGACCCCAAGGGCGGCCAAGTACCGAGCAGTAAATGGCACAGTGGAGGTAGATCCCGAGGTGACTTGTGGAAGGAGACCCCAAGCCCCAAGGGCAGTACTTACAGGGCACCTAGGGAAGGGAACCCTAGGCGCATGCAGCCTGAGTACCATGGAATACATCTCCTGGCTCACGCACCACCTGTAGAGACAGCCCACATCACAAGGCACAGAACTGAAACAAAAACCGGAGCCAGAGGCACGACTGCACCAGACTTCCATCAGCCAAGAACTGTAGGTTGGGTCGCCGGTAGATGGGTCTCGGGCTCCCCCTTCCCACTCCCAGGGAGGGAGGGGGGTTGCACAGACAGCAGCGACATCATGACGTCATGCTAGTTTGCTAATTTTCATTTGGAGAGTTCTGTCCACCTGTTCGGCTTTAGGTCGCAATACTTTTACCTGAATAGGGGTTTGTTTTGGGGCACCTATCTTTCTGGGTGCCTGTCCCGGTCAATGGCAGACATGGAATGCTCCCAACCACAGGGGGGCGGGGGGGTGTCTCTATAGGCCATTGCTCCTCGTGCCTCTCTAGAGGGGACCAGGTTCTGGCTCGTGGTCCCCGGTAGGCAAGAACTCCATGCATTGACTGATGCCAGTAAGATATACATATCCATTCAACCTGGATAGCTCCGGGGAGCCGACGGGGCTCCCCCCAGAAAAGCAGTGGTTCAACTACCACTGCCATCAAAGTGAAAGGGGCAGCCCCAAAGGACAAACATACCCAAAATATCATTGTCCCCAAACTTTGAAACCCTATGATGTTATGAAACCAGTAGCCTCACTAAATACTATACAGGGAAAATACCTAGTCATTTCATTGTCAAGATTTCAAATTAGAAACTGTAAACAGCAAACAAAATTAGCTACAAAAGAAGATAATTTTGTCAAATATGAATGTGAAGTTAGTTAGATATTCATGAGGTGCTATATTTACATCAATTGGCAGAAAAAAGGGATATGCAATTATAAGTATATTTAAAACATTTACATTACTGTTCTACATTCTGAATTTATATATTTCTATCACAACACAACACCAATGTCTCAATGCAAAATAATATATGAATTATCTTTATCTAATCAACAATAATGCAAAATAAATATTACACAGGATAAAAAGAATGTCAAGGACAAATTAAATTGTTGCCCATCTTACCTTAAAGTTTGGAATGCGGTTGCTGACAGGTCGTGGAAAAGTTGCTAGATCTTGGTCCTCAATGAAGGACCATACCTTATCACGGATATCATGTTTCGTCAAAGCTGAAAAAATTAAACAAGGACTGTTGCGATACTGTAATTAAATACAAATATTGATAACATATGGTTTCCCCCAGTGTTGGGACAGGAAGCCTGTTAGGCTTACCAAGGTCCCCTTAGGCCAATGACTGACATTCCCCAGGATACAAACCCCAACAGTTGCCTAACTCCTGGATATCTATTTACTCCTTTGCAAACAGATCCATCAGGTGAAAGAGAGCATATCCAAATGTTTTCATCCAATCTAGAACCTTTCAATTTTGAACAAAATGTGCAGAGACATGGGAATGAATTTCAACAACTGAAATATGTGTGAAAACTTTTCAGGAGTTTAACAAAAAAAAAGCATCATTAAACATGTCGATGAATATGTAATGCAGCTTTTACTTTATTAATTGGAGTAGAATAGAATACTGATGGTAAGAAACCAAGGAAAATTACTTTTATCCATGAATGGTATCCTCTACATTAAAGAATGTTGAAGACAGCAAGAGCTTCTATCCTAAGCAAGAATGTAATTGTGAATACAATTTGGGGTAAAGAGCTCCATTGTGCAGCTGATTGTAATATGAGAGGATTTTACAACTCATCACCCATATAGAGATGAAATAGGAAAAAATAGCTAATAATTTTATTGTTAACACCAACACTTCTATTACAATTCAATATCCAATATTGAAATTGTTAAATATTTCCAAAATGACTTGCCTCCAATGTGTTATATTGTTATATATAGCAGTTACTGTACAAAAGGTATTGTTACTATCAATATAATTAAATACAGTGTGTAAATTAATTGTAAAACAACCTCCATTGACTCTGATATTGACATTTTGTGCTCTTTGTAATCCTTTTGCATTAACACTCACAGGATAAGCACGGGCTGCTTATATACTAGCTCACTGGAGCAACAATTAAATTATGAGTACAGTAGTTAAATCGTTCATGACTAACAGTGAACAATGCTCCAGGAAACACACATGAATTTTAGAGGCTCATCACCTGCTGTTCCATAAATAATTCCTGATTTGTAAGAAGGCCAAGTTTTTAGTGCACTTAATACTTAAAAAGAGCCTGAAGAGGGCAAGGAGAAAATGTGTGTTCTTAAAGCATGTACACATAAATTAGTAAAGTAAATTGGAGGAGCAGAAATAGAGGAAAAAAAGGAAACACAGACCATTTAAAGTGTCATGCTCTCCTTATTTCTTTTACTTTCCTTAGTGAATGACTTACAGATTTTATTGCCAATTCTAATAACTATAAATTAATGTATAAGCCAAATAAAATTGCATTAAAAAAAAATCTGATTACATAACATCTTACAGGAAACAATAATACTGTACTGTACTGTACTTACTAGGTATGTCTGCAACCTCTATACCACCTTTTGATGTATACATGACTGCAGCTGCAAGACTTTATATGCAACCTGTTCAGCTTGGAAGGAGAAAGCTGAATTAGATAGAGAAAAGAACGGTAAAAATTATCCTCATCAATTTAAGTAAAAATCACTAATAATTACAAAATCATGTTTATGAATTCCTAAGTAAACATATAGTACTGTATATCCTAAATACAATTTAATATATACACAGTATATTGATACATACCTACACTCTCCACAGCACATATGGAGGCTGTGTCATTTTAACCACAAATATGTAGTAAAACAAGTGTTCATGTATTTAATTTGGTATAGAATTTTCTTGCAAAGCCTGGGCATGCAATTTTTTATACTGCAGTACACACTAATATACAATATACAACTTTAAATTTAATAAGTTCAGTCATTATATATATATATATATATATGTACAGCACTTCATTATTTAACTACACCTAAGGACTGAATTTTTCATTAAATATCTACATTTTGTTTAGTATCGTGTAATAATGTATCCATAATTATTTTTCTTCTTTCAAGTTTCTTTCCTCCACTTGGGGGTTGCTAATCGTGGTATGTTAGCAAGGCTGATTACAGAACTCGCCTCCACACGTGGGGACACCCGGTAAATTGTGTGACTTAACGTTGGTTGATAAAGATGACTTCTACTTTTGTCTACATTGATTTGCACACTTGATTTAATTTTATCAAGTCTCTTCTTTTGCTCTTCTTTTACCTTGATTTGCAATTCTTTCAATTCTTTTTTATTCTTTATATATTGTTCATCTCTCCTCCTAAATTCCCTTCTGTGACTTTCACTATACAGCTGTGCTTTTAACTTTTCTCCTTCCTGTTTCTCCCTAATTTTTTCCTTTGCCTGCTGCTGTTTTTTCTTATGGTACACCTCAAGTTGTACAGCAATAATCTGCCTTTCTTCATTGGTAAAGCATCCACTCTTTTGCGAACAGGCTTTGGTAAAATTCTTCTTTCCTCCAGGTTTCTCTAAACATTCTTCGGCCTTTTGAGTCGTAGATTCTTGTTCCTTTTTTATTTTTTGCCATTTACCAAGTTTCTCAAATCTCATTTCCTGTTCTCGCTTTAATTTTTCTTCTTTAGCATTTTTTGCAAGTAATCTTTTCTTTTCAGTTTCTTCTTTTTCCTTCAGAGCATCTTCCTGAGAATGTTTCTTGACTCTCTCTCTTTCGTTTCTCCATTCCAACAACTGATATTTCACATTTTCTCTTTTCTCTAAATAACTTCCATACCCAGAAGCATGTTCCAATATATCTGCCTCAGTTTTATAAGGAAAAATTCTCTTCCATTCTTCCAAGCGTCTTTGACTCGACCTATATCTCTTATATACTTTAACAAACTGAAAATGGTCTTTCTCCTCCCAGGTGTATTTAAAATAAGGAATGACTGGGTTTTTTATTTGTTCAATTTGGTCAGAGTTAGTTTCAAACAGGTCACTTCTTTCAATTTCTTTCTTAGGTGTTGTATGGCTGCTAATGTCAAAACTATTGCTAACTTTACTTTTTAATGTTCTTTCACTTTTTCTTTTTTCTTTTGCAACTGATTCAAATTCTTGACTGAGAACACTTCTCAGTGCAACAACATCCTTCTCAAGCTCGGCTTCCTCCTGTTCCAGATTATTATATGCCTCCTTCCCTTCTTCTTGCATGTGCTTAAACAACCTCTTAATCAGTGCCACCTGGCTGATTAACAACTCAATTTCTTGAATCCTTGGCACACTCACCAGCTCACAACTGTCACATGAAGCTTGCACCACCTGTGTCACTCTAGCCTCCAGGGCACCCACCTCATCCTGCAAATTGTGCAATCTACCTTTCGTAACTTGGCTAGGGTTGTCGTCGAAGCCTAGATCAAAGGCAGATAGGGTGCCCGAGGCCTGGCAAGTCCATTTAGTGCGGTGAACGCCCACACTGTCACCCCCGTATACCATGGTCTCCCCTCGCACTGCCTTCCTCCACAAGCTGTTCACCTCACTCCTCAAGCGAGACACCGCCCCAGTCTCCACCTCACACGCCATATCCACCGGGAAGGGAGGTAAAACACGACAGCCCCTTCCTCTACCTGCGGGGGATTCGATTTCAAATATTTCCAACTTTATTTACATTTTATCAGAGAAAACGGGACCGTCCGAGGTGGTGGCATCCCCCAGGCAGGCCCAAGAGTCCCTCCTTATTACGCCGCCGCCACCACACCTCCCACCCAATATCCCGCACCATATCCCATCCCCACCCAGTCACTGACCCATGCCCAACCCGCCTGGCGTAATGGCCAGGGGTGATAAACCGTCAGCTGCGAACTAGGACGCGGAAAAGATCTGAAAATAGCTCACCCACGTCTCCCTGGTGCCTCCTGATCAGCTGCCAGCAGTCATGTGCGGCGCCAGGGAGCGGGTATCCAAACACAGAAATAGAAACTTACAACATCTGTCAATTTCAACCTTACGTTTCGGGTATTGCTCACATTTGCCGATTATATACCGCTATTAGGCAAATTGATCGAGGTTTGAGTTAGAATGAACGAGTCAAAGGGTCTGAAGACTTAATCCCATAGATATACTCCGAAGGAATGTATAAAAAGCTGTGTTTTGCTATTAAAACGTAAAAGTTGTAAATTTCTAAGGTTCCACTCAGACTGGCAACATGTTAACCTTAGACATATATATTCAGAGAGACTCAAAATGTGTCATAAACCGTAAGAGTGAGGCCTAAGATGTGGTACTGCCACATTCCACACATATATATCCACTGCTGACTTTCCATACCTGACACTGCACTCGCCGCCCGCGCTCTACTCCACGCTAAACTCCACCAATGAAATCTTTCATAATTCATTGTAATGCAGCGGCTATAATAATAATACGCACGTAGCTTTAAGCTTCCACCATGTATAGCAAACTTAACCAAACATATATAAGTTCTTTATATTCATACCAGCGTATGCATGTGTGGCTAATTTGCTTATACTATCCATAAAACTTAACGTGAATTCATATATGATCGGATTGCAAAATTCCAATCGAGACCAAAGCTATGCAATAGAAACATATATATAATTTAAGTATTGACTGACGGTCACTGATCGTAACTCAGTGAAAGTTTGTGTTCAAAATCTGAAGTAATTAAGACTATCTGAAATGGTGACTCCAGCCTCGTTTTACGCTCTTCTTGCCCATTATTGCCCTCATAAAAAAAATATTATTCAGAAACTATATACACTGTTCAAGAGATCACATTCTCAGTCAGTTCCTATATTGTTCGTAGGATTTCGATTTAGCTCATTTATTATGCATCCTATTACCTGCCCCGTGGGTTGAAGTCAGTCCTTAATACCCGGAAATTGCTTTAATGCAAGAAGCCTGCCATTCAAAACAATCGGAGTTTTCAAAGCGGCAGGTCAGGAGTCATCAACTCATTCCTTGTAGCAGGTCTGGAGTCATCAACTCATTCCTTGTAGCAGGTCAGGAGTCATCAACTCATTCCTTGTGGCAGGTCTGGAGTCATCAACTCATTCCTTGTGGCAGGTCTGGAGTCATCAACTCATTCCTTGTGGCAGGTCTGGAGTCATCAACTCATTCCTTGCGACAGGTCTGGAGTCATCAACTCATTCCTTGTGGCAGGTCTGGAGTCATCAACTCATTCCTTGCGGCAGGTCTGGAGTCATCAACTCATACCTTGCGGCAGGTTTGGAGTCATCAACTCATACCTTGCGGCAGGTCTGGAGTCATCAACTGCATGACGTACACTTGTAAATAATGCCTCTCATATGTTGTGTTGATATTCCTTTATAGTGTGCCCCCTGAGTCATTAGGAAGACATGCATGGTTGGAATATGCTCGGTGAACTTGTGTATTTGTCGTGTTATTTATTTTGTACATAATAAATTCCTGGTTTTTAAATTTAGCTACTGATCATGGTAATTTTTCAATTATATGAATTCGAAACAATAACAACATTGAATTAATTTTAAAGGCATACAGATAATAACAAATATATATACATATTTTTTAATGTGTGTGTGTGTGTATTTTTTTACTATTTGTGTCTGCAGAATCGAGCTATTAGCTCTTGGACCCCGCCTTTCTTACCAATCTATGTTTCCTCTATTATATCTACTATTTATTTTTGTATTTATATACATACAAGAAGGTGCATTAGGCTCATGAGAGTACATAACATTGATGTTTTTACATTCTTACAAAGCCACTAACACGCATAGTGTTACGGCAGGTCCTTAATCTAACAGACGATTTTAAGTAGGTCATTTGTAGCAAAATTTGAAGAATATTAACAGGTACATTGTAAGAAAATTTGAAGAAAATTTGGTACATTGTAAAAAATAATAGGATATCAACAGGTAGTATTGTAGCATGAGGATTATCAACAGGTGCATTGTAGCATAATTTGAGGATTATTAATAGGTACATTGAAGTCAAATTCATAACAACCATCTTCTTGAGGTTTTCTTGAGATGATTTCGGGGCTTCAGTGTTCCGCTGTCCGCTCGGCCGACTGGCTCCCATGATATAAGTTAATAGCAGTAATTACAATATTGTAATTAAATTGTATGGCTTAGGCACACACACACACATATATATATATATATATATATATATATATATATATATATATATATATATATATATATATATATATATATATATATATATATATATATATATATATATATATATTCTGTATGTGTGTGTGTAATTACCTAAGTGTAGTTACGGGGTGAGATCTAAGCTCTTGGTGTCCTGTCTTCACAGTGTACTAGCCTAGTCCTGCTTTCCTGGGGGAGGGCGGAGGGGGGGGGAGCGGTTGAGCTTCGGCTCATTGGTCCCGCCTGCCAGTCATCAATTAAACTGGTGTGTATGTACATAGAAAGCTAACTTTCTCTAATCTTATCATTAAGTCTTCTTAATTCATAACGAATTCAAACGAAATTGTTACATTGGTTATATAATATTGATAATAGTAATAAGTAATGGTAATGTCTTCTCACAGATACAATATCGTAGGGTAAAAACCCCACACTTGTGTATTTGTGAAATTTAGGTAACTAATTTACACCAAGTCTTTCACACTCTCCTGAGTGCTTTGTTTAGGTCTGAGTGTGTGTGGTACTTGCTTCTCATCGTCTAATGACTACATCTCAACAGCCTCATTAGACGTGGAGATGCAGTCCATAAGGGATATTGTATTCCTGGAACAATTTCATACATTTGTTTTAAAAATTCCTTAGCGTGAGGTATGCCCCGGAGGAAGAGGCAGTCGAGGCAGATTACTTAAACAAATTCAAATGCCAATATAACTTAGCCATTGATGTTAGGCGAGGGGAGAGCTCAGCCTCCATAGCTAATGACGAGTTTAGTAAGACCAGTTTACACAGACACTATCACCAGTATCTTATCTAAGTAGCCTCGTCAGCGCATCGTTACATGTTGACGATAAATTATATCTAAATTTATCTCTCACTGTCCTGGACTCATGTAGAGATTCCCACCTGTCAACTGGGTGTCTGCCTATATGCTGCCTATATGCTGTCCTAGACACCTGTGTATAGTGGGTCTCACCTGTCAACGTTTTTTTTGTTTTACCTCACGTGCAGTTCTGGACACGTGCAGTGAGGTTCACTGCGGTTCTCTCCACTGCGCAGCCAGTCATCATGTCAGGCTCGTTAAAGCTGCGTCCGTCCCCCCATGGCGCACATCAGTTTTAATGTACTGTGTATTAAAAATAGATTTGTTATATATAAGTTGACATTATATTAAAGGTCTATGTAGAGTTGCATATGTATAGTTAGGGTAAAGGTTATTATTTTTTATAATAATCAAATAATAATTTGCAAATAATCACGTGATTATTTGCCAATACGATTGGTTCCAGCGCCGTCGCAGGAACCGAGAGCTCCGGGGTTGACCTCGAAGTTGGCGAAAAAAAGGCACAGGCAAACCCGGAGACTACCGTGGTCGGGGCCGGAGAAGAACCACCCCAGCAAGAGTATGAACGACCCCAGCCTCCTGAAGCAGAGCCTGGGCCTCACGACCTCAGGGAGGTGGACGTCCCGGTCCCGCACCTACGGGTTCAGGAGATCGTTACAGCTCTCTTTCACCCGAGTCCAGCTTCCTTCAGGCCGTCTTTTAGTATATTGTGCATATATAGGCATAGGTTAGGTTAGGTTAGGTGTTGAGGTTCTGTTGGCGATTAATTGTATTTGTAGTACGTGGGTGAAGCATTTATTTGCTTCATCTTCAGAAGGGTCACCCTTCTGAAGATGTATTATTAAATACGAAAGTACTTAAGGAAATTCCTGTTTCAGTTCTTCCTTCGTGGTCTGACACTGTCATATTTTTCATCACGTGTTAATTTTCGTGATTTACGCACACACACATATATATATATATATATATATATATATATATATATATATATATATATATATATATATATATATATATATATATATAATAATGTGTGTGTGTGTGTGTCACCTCACACACACATTATATAAACACTTACCTCAACATACTTGTGAGCAACATTGATCATCTAAGCATGAGTTCAATGTTGCCATGACGGTGGTGTCTTAAAACAAATAGTTAGTAGTTATTGTCGTTGTTATTACTATAATTATTATTATTGGTTGCAATGAAAAATGTGCGCGCGCACACACACACTCACACACACAGGAGGCACTGAACTACAGGCCAGTGTCCCTAACTTGCATACCATGCAAGCTAATGGAGAAAATTGTGCGAAAAAAGCTAATCGAACATCTGGAGCGAAGGAACTTTGTGACACAACACCAACATGGTTTCAGGGATGGCAAGTCATGCCTCACTGGATTATTTGAATTCTACGATCAGGCAACAAGAATCAGACAAGAAAGAGAGGGGTGGGCAAACTGCATATTTTAGGATTGCCAGAAAGCCTTTGACACAGTGCCACACCAGAGACTAGTGCGAAAGCTGGAGATGCAGGTAGGAGTGAAAGGTAAGGTACTCCGTTGGATAAGGGA